TTGGATATCCCCGATTGGAGATCGGAGCGGTCGTCCTTCCGAGCAGACGAGAGCAGTCTTAACACACCACACACTGCAGGAATATGTGATCAGATTATTTTACGATAATCGGAGCATCCTTAAGATTGTCGGAAGGGGTAAATCGGGACTAAAATCGGCCTAATTATCCTGCCGTGTGAACCAGGCTTTAATCGATCACACATACTGTCTACAACTCTGCATGGCCTCATAGAACGAGCTGATGACGTGTGATGTCTGTGAGTAGGGTGCGCGGAGGTATAGAAATATATGTTGATAGGCAGGTAGGAGGACATTCGGAATGCAATGATTGGATAAACAATTTTTGGTCCTGACACATCTACAGAAGCAACATGACATCATGACTTTGCGTAAACATACACGCCACTTTCAATTCAAGTGGCGTGTTATCTATACGCATTTTGATCTATCCGCGTGTATGTCCACGCCGAAATCTTTTGCGTGTATGTCTACGCCATTAAACGTCCGAGTGATTCCGCGTGTATGTGTACGCCGTTAAATGTCCGAGCGAAACGAAGCAAAATCTATATTCTACATCTGTGGAGCGATATTTCTTTTCCTAGGATGGTAGGAGAAGACTCATAAATGGTATTAACCCCAGTGACGGGTAGGTTTAGGGACGGGGTTGGGGTAGGTCATATATTTATATGTACATAATACAGTAATATAACGTTAAGTCAAAGGCGTTGATAAACACGCTGAAAAGCGATTATGCGTGTTGATAGCACGCCAAAAATGGAAATACGAATTGGCGTGTCATACATACGCCATTTCATGAGATCAGTCTGACAGAAGACCTAGTCTCAATTTCAGCCTAGCGTTGCGCTCACGGACCGGTGGCTGAATGTCTGATGCATATGGCACACACATTTCTTGAAACACTTCGGGAGTTTCGAAGTCAGGACAGAGCCCGTCTAACGGAGAGCCTTGGCACTTCCTATTAGCCCCATTGTGTATCATATTGGTTGCAGTTCCATTAGAATTCCACTGGAGGTGATGAATGAATGGGAGTCTATGGAGCAAAACGGCTAAATGTATCTCTTTCTCCTGCTTGTCGTTGAATCAACATAGATTTTATTGTTGATTGCGCAAGTTCAATATAGATTATTGGCCAAAAGTCGAATGAACGAGTACTTATGTCCTTTCGATTTCTTACAGGTTAGGCCGTTGTTGGCCGGAACACGCTAGCATTCTGCTATTATGTGACGCCATCACATTTTTGAACGGATTTTTAGAACAGATAAGTGAACTTAAAAATGCTATTTTCAGCTGAGTGTATTATCTTAGCCCTCCCTTTTGAATGCAACTTTCAAATTACTTGACAAAAATTACATCCTGAGAAAAGTGGATTTCTGGGGGTGAAACCCCATAGACTCCCATTCATTCTGCACTCGCCTGCGAGCGCCCCCGCATGGACAGAGACGTGTTACTGCAGCCAGTCCAGAAACCGGAAGTAACCAGGTCAGGATCTGACTGGTTGAATTCTACAGGATGTCCGGGAGGCGCGTGTGTCGCGTTCTTTACTGGTCCGCCTGGAAACAAATGTCGTGACGTCAAAACAACTCGTGGAAGAAGAAAGCCGTCGTGTTTACGACTGTGACTGTGACTGAGCGCTTACCAGGATCAACTAAACGCTGGATTTTCAAAAGTATGTGAGGTTCGCGGCTCCATTGTTGCAGTAAACTTGTATAACGTTCTTGAATTAGCCTAATCATTTATTAGATGCACGCCGGTCAGTTATTGTTGGGACATCGACATTATATTTTCATGCCCCTAAACATGAAGCGGAACAAAACGAACTGTGATTGATTGCGTTACATGTGTGGCCTGTGAGTTTTGAGCATAGGCAGTAAAAGAAAAGTCGTCTATTCACTGTCTATTCACCCAATCACTACTGCAAAAAGGTACGTTATGGCTCTGATTATAATGTGTTTGGTAAAAAGTAAAGCGTGTAACAGTTATGTGCTCAATGGTTCTTGTTGAAAGAAGTAATGGTAGAGGACTTTTCTCTTAGTAATTCTATCGGCTCACGTCTGGCTAGGACATACCAGTATTCAATTCATGGGTTTTGTGTTCGGCGTGTGTTTAGTAGCCATACAGTGGGGCCAAAAAGTATTTAGTCAGCCACTGATTGTGCAAGTTCTCCTACTTAGAATGATGAGAGAGGTCTGTAATTTTCATCATAGGTACACTTCAACTATGAGAGACAAAATGAGAAAAAAAAATCCAGGAAATCACATTGTAGGATTTTTAAAGAATTTATTTGTAAATTATGGTGAAAAATAAGTATTTGGTCACCCACAAACCAGCAAGATTTCTGGCTCTCACAGACCTGTAACTTCTTCTTTAAGAAGCTCTTCTGTCCTTCTGGCACCTGTTTGAACCCGTTATCTGTATAAAAGACACCTGTCCACAGCCTCAAACAGTCACACTCCAAACTCAACCATGGCCAAGACCAAAGAGCTGTCGAAGGACACCAGGAAGAAAATTGTAGACCTGCACCAGGCTGGGAAGAGTGAATCTGCAATAGGCAAGCAGGTTGGTGTGAAAAAATCAACTGTGGGAGCAATTGTAAGAAAATGGAAGACATACAAGACCATTGATAATCTCCCTCGATCTGGGGCTCCACGCAAGATCTCATTCCGTGGAGTCAAAATGATCATGAGAACGGTGAGCAAAAATGCCAGAACTACATGGAGGGACCTGATGAATGACCTGCAGAGAGCTGGGAGTGGGACCAAAGTAACAAAGGCTACCATCAGTAACACACTACGCCGAGAGGGACTCAAATCCTGCAGTGCCAGACGTGTCCCCCTGCTTAAGCCAGTACATGTCCAGGCCCGTATGAAGTTTGCTAAAGAGCATATGGATGATCCAGAAGAGGATTGGGAGAATATCATGTGGTCAGATGAAACCAAAATAGAACTTTTTGGTAAAAACTCAACTCGTCGTGTTTGGAGGAAGAAGAATGCAGAGTTGCATACCTACTGTGAAGCATGGGGGTGGAAACATCATGCTTTGGGGCTGTTATTCTGCAAAGGGGACAGGAAAACGGATCCGTGTTAAGGGAAGAATGAACGGGGCCATGTATCGTGAGATTTTAAGCCAAAACCTCCTTCCATCAGTGAGAGCCTTGAAGATGAAACGGGGCTGGGTCTTCCAGCATGACAATGATCCCAAACACACCGCCCGGGCAACGAAGGAGTGGCTCCGTAAAAAGCATTTCAAGGTCCTGGAGTGGCCTAGCCAGTCTCCAGACCTCAATCCCATAGACAATTTGTGGAGAGAATTGAAAGTCTGTGTTGCCCAGCGACAGCCCCAAAACATCACTGCTCTAGAGGAGATCTGCATGGAGGAATGGGCCAAAATACCAGCTACAGTGTGTGCAAACCTGGTGAAGACTTAAGCCCAATTTATACTTCTGCGTCGAACTCACGCCGTAGCTACGTCGTAGGCTGTGTGTAGCGCGCGTACCCTTCGGCGTACCCTGACGTGCACCTCTCCAAAAATGTTACAACGCGTCAATTCTACGCGTATCGCAAGCACTGTGATTGGTCTGCTAGAACCGCTCCCCGGCTTTCACATGCTCCCTCTGCATGTGTAATTGCGCGTAACGCGGACAACGACGCAGAAGTATAAATGAAAACCAACGCGTAGTCTATAGCGTAGAGGCTCCGGCGTAGGTCCGACGCAGAAGTATAAATCAGCCTTTACAGGAAACGTTTGACCTCTGTCATTGCCAACAAAGGTTATGTTACAAAGTATTGAGTTGAACTTTTGTTATTGACCAAATACTTATTTTCCACCATAATCTACAAATAAATTCTTTAAAAATCCTACAATGTGATTTCCTGGATTTTTTTTTTCTCATTTTGTCTCTCATAGTTGAAGTGTACCTATGATGAAAATTACAGACCTCTCTCATCATTCTAAGTAGGAGAACTTGCACAATCAGTGGCTGACTAAATACTTTTTGGCCCCACTGTATGTAAATAGACTGACTGACTGACTATGAATCTTAGGCGCACAGAGCACTCAACTGGGTCTCTTGTTTCTTTTTTTTATATAGAGGCTACAGCCAATCCGATTGTCGGCTGCTGTTCTCTTGAATGTGTATGAATGTGCAGGTGCTGCTTTTTAGACACACTTCCGTTTTGTTTATATATATATTTTTTCTTTTCCCACTAGCCGGTGGGCTGTAAGAGATTTGTGTAGTGAACTGATTGTGGCCACCGGCTAGCGTTTTTTATATATATATATATTTATTTCACCCCCTTTGTAAAATAGAGTCCCCTTACTCTTACCAGTCTTGTTCAAGGGGTGGCGTAGGTAGCACTGCCATAGACTTGCAGGGGGCCACACATGTCAGTCAAACATCCTCTTGGGCAGTCCTCCTTGGCCAAGAAAAGCTGCAATAGAGTCCAGACCTTCTGCCGTCAGTCTGAAGGTCTGGCTACAGAATACCTATGTGTTTTAATATTTAGACCACTTCTATTATTGATAGCTATCAGGATGTCAAGGGAGTTTCAACCAGTATAACAAAAAGTGTTTAGAAAATGAATTGCCTACCCTACCTTTAACATGTGTTAATGTTAACCAGCTCTTGAATTAAGTGAACCTATATTTAATATCAAACTGAAATAGTCTTTACAGAATCAAACATTATGTGATGGTTTCACAGATTAAATGAATATGGGTTAAATACTATTAAAGTGGTATTTCTTAAAAAAAAATTTATTCTGTAATTTACTCAAATGGACGGACAAAAAAAGTGAATATTAAAAATGTTGTCATTTGTGTTGCAAAGATTAATGAAAATTAGAGGTTTGGAACGACATGAGAGTAAAAGAAAGTGTACATTTTTATGATATATTTTAAACTTAAAAAAAATGTCAACCCTTTGTTGTTGACCAATATTTAACAATAATAATCTTATCACAAAATCCATGACAGGAAACAGATTTACTGCAGAAGCGTGGTGTGCTTTATTGGCTACTGATTCAAGGTATACATCTTCCTCTAATCCTACACCCACAGAATCAAAGAAACAAAACACACATGCAAATAGTGGCCAGCCTTCAGCAAGGGAGGGAGGAGGCTTGGTTTAAATCAATACATTTCACGTTAGAGTAACTGATGGCTTGTCCTCAACATTCTCAAGTTTTTTTTTGTTTTTTTTTGTTCATTTTCATGTGGCAACTTTAGTGCCTCTGTTCGGTTTTTATAAAACACTGAACTTCTGGTTTTCCTTTTCACATATAAAGTGAACCATGAGCCCATCTCTCTTTGTGCAAAAGTTTAATTGTTAAAACTTTCACAATGGCCTTCTTTGAATGTTGTGTAATTGCAATATACAAAAATAATGGGCTCCAGTTACTTAACTGTTAGAATAGAAGAAAAAGATAAATACAATTGTCTGTGACTTAAATAGGTATGTATAGTTTCTCATGCCACAACCACAATAGACTTAGTGACATGGGCACAAACGAAATTGCATAACAGTAATGAGGACAAACAGTAACGTAACTACTTAGACTAACAGTACACATAAAATGCTTGTTTCTGTCTTAGTGGATATCAAACTCCCCTATCCACAAGGAGTTTGACAGGGCAGTAGTTGTATTTAGATGGCTTCCACATAGTTGGCGGGCAGCATACCGGTTTTTCCAGTACGCTGCACAGTGCCATACATCCAACCCTCATCAATGGACTGCACGTTCACGATGACGTCACCATCCTTGAAGGACACCTCATCATTGTCAGCACCAGCGTAGTCATACATGGCACGGACAGTTTTCTGTTTAGGGCAGAGGGGAGAATATTAAACGAACAGCTTCACTTATGGAATATGCTGTTACTATTTAGACTAAGATATTGTAAAGTATATGCATAGAGCTTATTAAAGTTGCCATTGGTCTCTCAGTACTTACTCCAGTGGTTGAGGGATGTGAGGGGACAGAAGAAACAGTGGTCTGTTGTGTTGCCACAGAGGAGGATCTCTGCTGAACCTCTGTAGTCTTGGTCTGTGTGTATCCTAAATGAGAAAACAGCAGATTTAATAGCATATATATCTCTTCAGATAATTAGCATTCAGATTTTGGCTCCTTACAGGCAATTTTCAACGGTCATTAGTACCACTGAGATGGTAGACCAGATGAACACTTTTACATATCACTTTAAAGGGGAACTTGGCAACTCTAGTCATTTCTTCGCTGATTTTCACTTTTGTTGTCGCATGTTTTCTCAACAAGCTCCCCCTACAGCTGTGCAGCGTATATTTTCACAACACTGTCATAAAAAAAACTCACTTGCGGCACCTTCCTCCCGCTTTCTACCACTGTTCATGTGCATTTGTTATTATCGGAGCCGGCCAACTCTATCGTGTGGAGCTATGTCTACCAAGGTAGTAATACATCATACACAGTGTCATAGAATTATGTCGAATTGCCATAAAGCAGTACGTGTTTCTCGCTCGTTCTCGCTTCTCACGAGACTTCCTATTTCCAATTTACCGGGACGTTAGTCCCCATGTTGCAAGTTTGGTTTTCCGCCTGGGAACGCTGGGGGGAGCAGGGAAAGTCACCATTCTCTCCAGAACAGGTTATTAAACCATTCAAATGATTTCTAAACGGTTTTATTAAGTTGAAATAGTTGCCAAGTGCCCCTTTAAAGCCTCAGCAGTTACATAGAATGATATGATGTTGCATATGGTGCACTAAACAGTTGATGTGCATAACAGCATGGAGCTTATGTTGTAATGGATTTTGAAGATTTTTCAGGTTAAATCAAACAATTTAAGATAATTTAAACTTTGCTCAGTTTTAAAAAAAGACTATAATATAAAAAAGATTAAAAAAAATCTAAAAGAAATAAAAAAAATGTTTAAATATATTTGTTAATTTATTTTTGACCATCCTTAATGTTGCAATCTAACTCTATCCATCGGTTCCTGATTGGATATTGAGATGTGGACATTGCACTCAAAATTATGAGCTTGCAGTCCATTGTGGAGAGACAGGGTTTAAGCAGACTAAATGACTGGATAAGTCCGGCATACGTCAGAGAAGTCTGTAATTTTCACTGAAAGATCGAGTTATGATATTTTGAATAAACATTACGAGGTCAAGTTCAACGTTTTTTTTTTTAAATGAACAATGAATAATTTACAAAAAGATCAATAGCATGCAATGCATTAAAAAAAATAGATACAGTTGGCATGAAATGAAAATTCAACCTAAGGACAAAAGAAATGAGGCACTTTAAACATGTACCGTGTAAAGTGGAGACACCAAAGCCATTGCTGTAGAGCGATGCATGGTGGTCCACGTTCTCAGACACCTCGGACTTCTCATCGCCCACCCCACTCATTGCGCTGGTGGAGCGGGAGTGCTCCTTGCTGCGGCGCTGGGCTTGGACTGAATAATGGGACAAACATGTCAATGCTCCCTCCTCTTTGAAAGACTGTCTTCAATCGTAATAACCCTTTTATGTACAGTGACCCACCTGACATCATGTGAAGACTTCTGGACTGGATGTTGTCCTCGGCAGGGTCATAGTCAAAGACAGAGCCAGGGTTTGTGCGCCACACACGCAGGTCTTTGAGAACGTAAACTCAGATTTAGTGAATGTCTCTATTCAAAACTCATTTGGTTTCTGTGTATCATTTATTACATAGGCGTCATGCTTTTCTAGATTTACAGGAAGAGAAATCAGTTTCTAAACTCAAGTGTGTTTAGTGTGTACAGGAAACAGTATGTGTCAGCTGACCAGTGATGGTCTCCTGATCGTGTTCCTCTGCACGTCTCCTCTCCATCTCCACCACACGTCGCTGGATGCCGCGGTAGTTGATGTCACTGAAGTCCTGTGTGTTCCTCTTCACACGCTCAGTTATGGGGTCAGAGATGGTGGGGGTGAAGCTGCCCTTACTCTTCTCAAAGTCCTCGTGGTATCTGACCTGACAGGACCAATAGACAGCAAAACATGAGTCAGGACACTAAGAACCTGCTACAGCAACAATCCGTTTATAGTCCGAAGTCTCGATTGGCCTTTCGAATGGCTTCTCAAATGAGAAAAAAAAAAATGTAGGGTGGGACTTGATTTTGTCCAATGGAAATTGATAGGGTTGTTGGATGGTTTTGGTTTGCTGCTGTGATCTCATGTGAGTGACAGGATGTCCCACCCTCACGCCAGTAAACATGTCATATTATAGAACAGAAGAGATGTCGCTCCAAGAGGGAGGGGAAGTTATTTTGATTTAAGATTACGAGGGCACATGAATTAAAAAAAATAATAATGATGTCAGTGTCAGAGCCAGTCTGCAGATTTTGGGAGGGCGAGTTGACAGATTTTGCAGAAAACTGTGTAGTGAATGATGGGTACAGACTCTGATTTTTTTTTAGCTTCAGACTTTGATTCCATCCAGGTGGAGGATATCACACATGCTTGAACTTTTTAACTGATTTTAGAACTCACATTGGCTTCATTTGTCATGCATCTCCAAGCAACGATGTACATGTTTCTGTTTGAGTTTGTTGTGTTCAGAACGACTTGAAAGTCTGGTATTGTGTGAGTGTGTGGTAGACAGTAGTAACTATTTACAAAGTCACAAGTGTATGATGCCTAGTGTTTTAAAAATGTTCAGGGGCCATGTGCATAAATATAAACATAGTCACCGTTAAGACCTAGTCTGCCTACTAGCAGTTCGTTTTTTCAGCATCTACTGACTGTTGATAATATTACATCCTGCATTTTTTTTGTACTGATCCTCAACCTTGTAACATTTACCTCCCATTTTGAATGCAATAGGGTTGACCTTCATATAATATCGAAAAATCAGTACATTGCAGTATAATGATAAAGGTCAAGATGTGAACGTCATCTTACTCCAGAGATGATACGCTGGGTTTCTTTAACACGTCTCATCTCAGGGGTGTCCAGCACAAAGGCGGCCTTGCCCTGCACCTGCTTACGGAAGCTGTCAGAGTACAGAACCTGGACAAAAGTCACAGAAAATACTTGCATTATAAACCTGGATTATGATTATGTATCAAGACCCTGTGGAAATCAGGACATTAGACAAACAAAGAACATGAATATGACATCCATCAGCAAAACCCTGGGTGTTATTGTGAATTCAGACAGATGAATTAGAAGGATCTTCAGAGGGCTGGATTAAAAGTCGGTGGGTCCCGAGATGAAGCTTTGTAGTCATGATGATCAGTTACTGAATTAAATTCAGCAAATGGAAGAATAAAGTTAATATTATTAGCCTCCTAAGTGAAATGAGGGTATTAGAGCAGTTACGTTTACACACGGCAAACACACACACTCGTGTCCTGTGGCTGTGAGTACCGAGCTAATCTGCACTTGGTTCCGTTTGACCCGTTCCATCTCTGGAGTGAACACCACAGGCGTTCCCTTGGCAGAGAGGTCCTTATACAAAACCTAGAGTAGAAAAGAACAGCGCCCCCAGAGGCCAGTCAGACACAAAACACCACGGCAGATGCAAGAGTCTCTGGAGAGTCACACACAACACACAATGAGTTTATAGCCCAGAATTAAAAAGAGGAAACTGGTTGGGAAGGGAAAACAACAAATATGGGATATCTGGTGTTGGTTTAATTTTGGATTAGGAACAATGTTTGGAGTTGAATAATTCCCATACGTTTGAACTCACAGCAAAGGGTACCTAACTATGGTGGAATATGATGTGGTGAATTACATTAGATGAAAATGAGGTTTAAGCATTACATATGCTTCATTTGTTTTGCATCAGCGATGGCATTGTAAGAGTGGAAAAGGAAGAAGTATACTGGAAGCGTTAATGGGGTACAGAGCCACTCTCAAGTAAACCCTGTGGAGCTTCCACTACCGAGCTGATGTGCTTCTGATTCTCTCTGACCCGCTTCATCTCGGGGAGGTCCGGTATGGCTGTGCCTTGACCCAGCGAATCCTTGTATTTTATCTACCCAAGGATTAATTACGACATATCAAATAAACAACACACACATGAACCGAACAGCAACAGAACGAACATCCACAAAGATGAAATACACAAAATCATTAGCTCTGTTCCAAACCCAAGCCTCCTTGCTGCCTACGCAGACGTCTGCCTTTTAAAATTGCATTATAAGTGCCCATAAGAGGCATACTTGTACATCTCTACATAGGCAGCAGTTTTATATACTACACAAATAGCATTTAGCATCAGAGACTCCACCCACCACGTAATACTCAAGTTTAACAATCCATAAAGTTGCCAACTTTTCATAACAGCCTTTGGGTCAGGAGTGTGCCTATGATGCCTTCAAATGCTCCCTTGGTAGGCAGCTTACTAGGTTTTGGAGCAAAGCAATTGTGTTGGCAAATAACTGATAATGTTGCTGATCAACAATACAAGTTTAAAACTAGATATTACCTGCAAGGTTTTGTAAAAAAAAAAAAAAAGGTATGGTACCTAATTATTACATGGGGGAATCAGTTGCTAATAATTAGCCTGCAGCTAAATAAATACTAAGTATTACTGATAAAAGGGAATACAGGATTTTGTCACATGAGCTACACGAGAGTTACAACTATTGTTATGAATGATGGATTTGATGCAGTGACTTCTTCTCAGGGTCACTAGAGGGACTAGTATAAACAGATGGAGGCTAAAGGGTTTTCTTAGATGATGGAGAGACGAGGAAAAGGGAATGTTTTATGGGTGGGATAGAGGGTCACACCGCAGTGTACCGTGCTAATATTTTGCTGATTGCGTTTAACTCTCTCCATCTCTGGCGTTTCTGAAATTGATGTTCCTCCTCCCAAATCTTCCTTGTATTGGATCTTTAGAGGCAATGAGGCAAAAATAAACAAAAAACAAAGGTAAAAAATGACTTGAAATCTTATGTCAATATTTTTCAGATATCAGTGTGTAAAAATAAATAAAAATAAATCAATGACATACAAAATGCATGAAAACAAAAGTTTTGAAGATGTAAAATGTCAGAATACATCATAAAATGTCTCTAGCAAGAAAATTATTTGGTCATATACTGTGAGGTATAAACACTACCGTTCAAAATTTTGAGGTCAGTAAGATTTTTTTTTAAAGAAGAATCATGAAAAAAATATATCACCGTTTCCACTAAATATTAAGCAGCTTAAAATGTTAAGCAGCAACTGTTCCAGCATTGATAATAATAAGAAATGTTTCTTGAGCACTAAATCATCATATTAGAATGATTTCTAAAGGATCATGTGACACTGAAGACTGGAGTAATGATGCTGAAATTTCAGCTTAGCCTTCACAGGAATAAATTACATTTCAAAATATATTCACAGTTCTTATACATTTTAATAGTATTTCAGAACATTTCTATTTTTACTTTATTTTTGATTAAATAAAAACAGCCTGGGTGAGCATAACATCTTACAGACTCCAAACGTTTTTTGAATGGTAAAGTATGGAGCAAAAATATACATAAAATAGTGAAGGGGAGCTTTTGGTTTATTTAGGGACGTTTATCCTTACCAATAAGCTGAAGAAGGGGTAAAATGAGACTTTAAAGAATGATAAAGATGAAGAATGAGAGTATACAGTAAAATGTTTAAAGCAAGGAGTCTTCCTCAAAGAGAAAAACACTACCGAGCTGATGTTCTTCTGGGTGTCCCGTACACGCTTCACCTCAGGAAGGTCAGGTATAGAAATGCCTTGACTTAGTGAATCCCTGTATTTAATCTAATACACATTTCAGGTCCATTAAGAGCATGAAATAATTGACAGGATCAAATAAGTGATAAAGTCAGAGAATTGACACATTTATGCAGAAACGGGATGAAAGGGGTAAAAAGAGAGGAGAGGTTGAGTGTTTTTAACAATGCAACACTAGTTAAAGTCTTGGAACCACTTTAGGATGAAGATGGATAAATATATGGATCATGTTATAATATGTTATTAAAAATGATGAGAGGCGTGGCTATTTATTTCAAATTATTACTTCATATTAGATGCTCTATATTAAAATGAATCTTTGACATTACATTTTTTAGAATGCTGTCAGAATTTGGATTAAAATCATAAATAAAGGAGGCATTATGTTGTTTTTTAGGGGCTCTCCAATGGGAAGGAGGGTGAATGGTTGGGTCACAACACTGAGTACCGTGCTAATAGCCTCCTGATTGCGTTTAACCCTCTCCATCTCAGGGGTTTCAGCTATGGCTGTTCCTTGCCCAAGCTCCTCCTTGTACTGGATCTTTAGAATTGTACAAGAATAATGAGGCATTAACATTTGGTTTTTATCTCGTAGGATAAGTAGCTTTCATTTGTTTTGTCTGGGGACGCTTCAGAATGTGCCCTCGCACATAAAAACAGACCAAACATTTGAGAAGAGATGGACAAACAAAGAAACTACAACATTTCAAACACACAAGACAGATACAAACCAAACAGGTAAAATATGTACATATTAAGCTTGTAAAATAGTTAGAGCTACTGTTTAGGATGAAGAAAGGTCAACAGCATCAAATTTGATGATTACTGTTAGTGGCTTTGCTAGTTTATGACTAAGTATTAGACTAAGGTCTGCTATATTTATATTATGTAAAAAGAGCTGGATGTCAAGAAATGTTAACTTGTGGTTGTACAGAAAAAAAGGAAAAGGTGGTGTAAAGCAAGAAATGAGAACAGAAAAATAACCAAAAACAAAATAAAATAAAAAATTGTGGTTAGAATGTTGAAAAAAAAAACATATACTCATTAGACAGTAAGTACCGAGCTGAAATTCTTTGTATTTTCTTTAACACGAAGCATTTCAGGAGTGTCCTTTACCGCGGAAACTTTGCCCTTACTGTTTTTAAGGTCAATCTGGTACTGAAGCTAAAAAGAAAAGAGCACAAAAGCAGTCAAAACTGACACAAAAATGCAACGAGAAAACAGTTCTCATTCAAAATCAAGAGAAGTGTGTATTATTAAAATGGACAACTAACTAAGCCACATAACAAATCTGTCTACACTTTAATATTTCTCTCTCTTTTTTTTTTTCCATACAAAAACACATGAAAGACAGGGACCAAAGACAACAAAGGATTCAAATACCACATTTAGGCTAAGATGAATAAAACAGAAACATAATATGGACTGAACAGACATAATATGGACTGGCTCAAAGCCCGCGGAGAAACACTTACGGTGCTGAAGTTCTTCTGGTTCTCACGCACTCTTTGCATCTCAGGAGTGTCTAACACAGGCACATAGTGTGACATGGTCTTCTCAGCCTCCTCCTTGTACTTTTTCTATTTGGTTAAATAAAAAGTTGAATCATAAAAATCATAATAATAAACAGAGCAATTCCAATAGGGTCCTCACACCATCGGTGGTCAGGCCCTAATAAAACAGGTAATATTTTCTAGTTTGTTTTCTATTCATTGTTATATGGAGTTTTGCAACCCTTTTACCAAAATGTGTCTATATACAGATCCAAACGTCTTAATAATAAGAGTTTAAAAATAGGTAAATGTATACCAATACACTAGCAATAAACATCAAAAAATGACTTTTTTTCTTCAAAGAAGCAACCCTCATACCTGGCTCACAAGGTTCCTGATCTGCTGAGCGTGGAGGATGTCAGGGGTGTCAATGACTGTGGTGTATGTGGCTCTGTCATGCTCAGCATTCTGCTTGTACTTGGCCTGGAAAACAAATTAACCAGCAATCAATGTATTGTTGAAATGTTGGTGCTAATAGTTGAGGGAACACTGAATTGATGGGTTGGAGATCATCTGTGTACCTGACTGAGGATATCTGTGGCGTTCTTTGCCCTCAAGAAGTCTGGAGTGTCAGTGGCCAAAGCCAACATGCCTTTTCCCTTGATATCTTGCTCCAATCCTTTCTTGTACTCTCTCTGCAGGAATTGGGCAGAAATGAGATCATGTTCATATGTTTGTTTATCAGTCATCTTAACATTCACACCAATAAACATTCCTGTGGGCTACAAACACAAAAGCAGCATACATTTAAAAAAAAAAAAAAAAATTTTAAAGGAGAAGAGGAAGAAAAATTAGATGATATTAACATCAAAGCTGTAAAGGGAAAATAAGGGAGACCATTTAGAATTGAAAGACAAAATGACATTTAGTGGGAGTCTCAGTCGGATGAGTTGAATTGCTTTACCAAACCTGGTTAGATGGCACATCATAGAGAAAGTCCATAAGCTTGATTAGTTTTCTCATTAGCAAGAGGCAAAATGACCGGTTTCTGCCTGATTAGTGTGATGAGGAGGAAGTGGCGTTGTGGGAGATGACTACAGGTAAGATAAGTCAGTTTGAGCTTTAGCCATCCTACCTCACAAAGGATATGAGTAGCATTCTTTGCTCTCAGTAACTCAGGAGTTTCCTCCAGCACTGTAAGCCCTTTACCCTTCACCCCTTCCTCTAGATCCCTCCTGTACTCTTTCTACAGGGCGGAGAAGAACAGAAATACTGCAGACACATAGCACACACAGACACAGACACAGTACTGCGCCCACTGACATTTCAAAGTCACCAAGCATTTGCTCTGGGTTTGAGATAATGCTTCACACACAGCATATAATCAAGGTGCATGTTGTCCATACACAACAAGTAATTGAACATAATCTACTTGGAGCAAAGGCATTGCTGAGTTTGAAAAGCAACCTGATAAAGACGTATACAATATTGATCACAAATGTCACAGGCAAGAATATTGACAAAACAATGTCTGAGATTTTTTAACATGTAGCCTACATTCGTTTTGCAGCATTCGTATAATTGTAAAGCCAAACCAAAATCTAATGAGGTTAAAATAAAATAAAATGTTATGTCATGTGCATGCTCAGGGTAACTAAATATTCATGGTAACCAAGATCTAAAGAGGTTAAAATAAAATAATCAAAAAATAAATAAAATATAAAATGTTATTTCATGTGCATGACCAGGGAAACTAAAGTACAGTGTAAATAGGTTTAAAAAACAAGAGATTTGATCATAAAACAAATGTAAACATTAATAACAGGGTTCCCACATCTTTTGATCAATGAATTTTAAATGACATTTCCAGTCAAACATTAAAAATTAAAATATCAATACAAATTATTTGAAAGATTGCATAGTGATATATTGTGAGATTGAATAATGATAACTTGGCGACAATAAAAAATTTCGTAGGATTAAAAATAAAAGGATTTTCATAACTTTTCCTGGACTGCAATCACAATTTGGAAATCCAGGCCTGGAATGACATTCCCTAATATGTCCAGGTTTTTCATGACTGTTGGAACCTTGTTAAAACCAGCAACAGCAGAAAACACACACACACACACAGATGTTGGAAGGAGAAGGGAATTACTGAGAGTGTATTACAACGGAAGGATGGTTCATGCATACTAACCATAACCTACTTGGGTGTAACTGGAAACTTCAAAGACACTCATGTAAAGGATTATAATGTGTATGTGGTCTTAGTATTATTACCAGGATGGAAGGAAGATGATATAAGGGCTTCATGTTACCTCGCTAATAATTTTCGTGGCGTGTCTGACATGTATCATGGCAGGGGTGACCTCCAACCCAGAGAGGTTCTTTCCTTTCATTGTCATCTCAAAGTCCTTCTTATACTCTTTCTATCCACCACAAATATAGAAGAGTGGGAGATACATGAAGCTTCAGGCATACGGGTCTAGTACACCATGGTCACACTGGTTCCTCAGTCGAAGAGTGTGACAGTTCATATAATGTTTTGAGTATCTTCTTGATGTTAATTTAAAACATTTTCTCCAGTCAGTGTGTTGTACAGTGACACTTTCAAAACAGCCATAAGCATCTAACATACATAAATGCCTACCATAAATCCATGGGTCCTGGTTGGAAATTGTGGTCTCCCAATTACTTACTAGCATTACTAAGTAAGATTCAAACAGTGTGCTTTTATGTGGATACAAATATTGTATTTCAAAGTCATTCACAAAGTACACTTGAGCAATATACGCTACCAATCTGTTTTGCATTGAATACACTGAGCTTTGGCATCAGTATTTACCTGACTCTGCATATGTTGAGCCTCCTTAGCAGTCACGTAAGTAGGAGTCTCAAAGTCCAGCATGGCTTTGCCTCTTTCTTTCTCATATTTCTCCTTATACTTCACCTGTAGTCAGACAAAATCCCAAAGGTGAAAAACATACAAATAGAAAAAAGCTGAACTGATTAATTTAATGGTTTACTAAATAATGATTGCCAAGCAAAGACCACAGATTTGTCTGCAAACTGAATCTTTTTGAAGAGTCAAGACTATATATATATATATTTTTTTTTTTATACTGGATATCAATTAATCTGCCATTTTATGTTCCTAAGCACTGAGACTCCTGAAAGAGAGTTTACCATAGGCTCAACAGTGTGGAAAATTCATTAAAAATACAATGGATGTTTATGATGTTTTCGCAATATAAAATGTCTCAGACTTTAATGATGGAGTGACTCACTTTTACAACTTTGTTCTTGCATAACGCACAGACAAGTCCTTATAAAGCAGTTTTACAGCACAAATTAACCCAAACAAATAAAATGTAAATGATAAATAAATCTAATTTAGCTGCATAAGACTGACAAGTTAGCTGAAATGAAATAAACAGGTCCAACATGTGAAGCATCACACACAGAGAAGCAGGTGACGTCAGCTGCAGAAAGCTCCAGAACTGTAAGACTTACGTGACTTTGCAGCTCTGAGGCCTCTTTGTGGTGAAGCTGCTCAGGTGTGTCAGCTATCATAAGGTAGTGACCCCTACTCTCCTCAAACTTCTTCTTGTACTGGTACTAAAGAGGAACGCCCAATAAAGCAGCTCAATAAAACAAAATGGAAATCCAGTGTTTCATCTCTCCCATATTGAAAAGGCCGAAATTGGCCAAAAATGAAAAAGAAAGTGGGGACCAAAAAAAAAAAAAAAGAAGAAGAAGAAAAGACTGATGGCTGAACACATAACATAATGACACTGATAATGGAATGAGGTAGATTTATTTAACTTCATATGATCTAATCATACTAATATTGTTATATCATAATAAATGTTTGGTAACACTTTACAATAAGGTTTCATTAGTTCACATTAGTTAACATGAACTAATAATGAACTGTACTTCTAAAGCATTTATTAATCTTAGTTCATGTTAATTTCAACATTTACTAATACATTATTAAAATTAAAAGTTGTATTTGTTAATATTAGTTAATGTACTGTGAACTAACATGAACAAATGATGAATGACTATTAATATTAACTAACATTAACAAAGATTAATAAATACTGTAACAAATGTACTGCTCATTGTTAGTTCATACATTAACTAATGTTAACAAATGAGACCTTATTGTAAAGTGTTACCAAATATTCTAATATCACACGTTGGAGCCAATGTTCCCCCAAAAAACACAGTAGCACCTCAATGCAGTACATGAGATCCATGGGGAGGAGTCGGATCAAGATCCAAGGGGTGGAGATGGGTAGGATTAGGGGTGGGTTTAGGGATTAGGGGTGGGTTTAGGGATCAGGGGGCGGAGATGGGTAGGTTTAGGTATATGTAAGGTGGGAGGAGTTGGATCTGGATCCGACTCCTCCCCGTGGATTTCATGTTCTGCAGTGAGGACCATCTCAAAAAACACCTTCCCCAAAAACCTCTTAGACTTCATTTAAGGTTATACATAACAATAACATTTTAAAATCAGTTTTAGATAGATAGATCGTTTTAGATTTTAGATATAACATAAGTGTATATGTTTATAGAGATATGTTTAGATAAAAGCTGTCAAGTCAACATTCAAGTATAGTAAGTTATTTTCTAGTTTATATGCACACATCCCAATGAAAATTAAAAAAGGTTGATGAAAAAATGAATAAAAAGGCATCCAGGGAAGTGGGTTAAAAAAATATGTATCAGGGATTGTTATTAAAGAAAAAAATGGAAAAATGAGATGTTAGAGTGCTTTTAGAATAGCACTAGGCATGTTAATAAAAAGAAGAAGAAAAAAATAAAATAGGGTCAAGTGAAAGCAAAAATGGAGCTAGTGGTAGTATGTTTAAAATCGGATGATGAGGGTCACTACCAAATGATAGCCTGGAATGAGTAAATAGATTAAATGATAGCTTTCTCTGAGGATGATAGATGGCTCATGTGAAATTACATGAAGATGTGATATTTCACAGTTATAGTGTTACAGTGTGTGATGGGAGGGAAATGAAGCCATCAATAAAACTCTTACATCACTGGACAGCTTGCTAGTGCTCAGGTTGTGCTGCATTGACAAAGACTCTGCCATGTCAGTGACAGGTTTGTGAATCTTCTTCAGGTCACCTTTGTACTTCACCTGTAAGAAATATCCAGGCAAAAACACACCATGATAAGAAACACTCTCAATGTGATATGAGCAGGTCTGAGAGTTTAAAGCACCTCGCTTGCAAGTTCATTGGCATCCTTCAAAGTCTGGTAAATCTTGCTGTTCTTCAAGTCATACTGTGGTCTCTTTCCTTTCATCTCCTTGTCAAACTTCTCCTTGTACTTCACCTTTTGAGAGAGGACAGTGACAATGTTAGTTGCTGTTAGTGATGCATTTTCTGTCGTATGAGCCAAAATGCTTGCAAAAGCTCAGAGACATGAATCGTTTCATGCAATCATCAGTGGAAAGAAAGGGAAACTGAAAAGAATCTCGTTACAACAGGGTTTCAGTTGGGTCTAATTCAGTACAATTCAGATCAAGTTCACATTGTACTAGCCCCAAATGGGATGACCAACACAAAGTTCAGAGCATTCAAAAGCATCACATCCAACATATACTGTTTGTGTGCACATAAAGCTGAAGTGTGTGATTTCTGTTCCACTAGCATCACTGAACCAACGGGGTGCAACAGGGCCAAGACTGACTCGATTATGTCATTTGCAGTGCTTCATGGGAGTGAATAAGCACTAAAGAGTTCTTTTGGTGAATGTTCTTTGATTCTCTGATTGGTGGAGATTTCTTTACAGAATCATGGGTAATGTTTAACAGAAATTACACAGTTACACAATTATTTTAAAAATAATTTGGAAAAATGCAGGCTGATGGCTTCAACAAAAGCACATATCGTCGGTTAACCTTGTTGCTCACAGTAGGTCTGTCTTTAAAGGGGCATTATGCAGAAATCCCGTTTTTGTCAAACAGCGACCCCTAGAGTTACTGTGGAGTACTTGAATTTAACGTTACTGTCGTAAATACCACTCACAGTATACAATAGTACATTGTGTTTAATTTGTCGTTTAATGAGATATAATATATGTTGTTAGTGGTGAGAATTTTCACGTGATTAAATACATAGATCCGACAATTTTAATGGTCCAGAGGCAGAACTTTTGCCAAGTGTGTCAGAGGTTCTGGGTTCTAATCGGTACTAGTAGTATAGTTTATTTTCCTCATCAAAACCGATTGTTTATTAGTGGTTGTATTTCAAGCAGGGATATGTTTTTTGTGCATTAGATTTTGTGATTTCACCATAACAAAATATAGAGAGTCTCTCAGTCCCCGCAACGGATTCAGGCGCGCGTCACAACAGAACACTGTAACTTATCTGCACCACTGATCGCAGAGGCAACGAGCACTTTGGTCACTTGATTTCAAAAATAACACATTTCAGATCGCCTCTTATTTAACAAACGAACGAAATGAATGCTCTACTAGAGTTACCTGGAGATGTTTTATTTGTTTGTAATGGTACATCCGTGCCGCGAGAAGTTTCAATGGGGACATAACACACCCGCAAATTATGCCTATGCTCGTGTCCGACTCCTCGCTCGGTCAGTCTGCCGTTTCCTCTTTCTCTGTTCCTCCGACAATGCTTTCCTAGCTTTCTGCATCTTATATGCCGGCTCAGCCATGACGATAGTGTGACAAACTCCATCCATCTATACCTTGTTCCTGTGTGTATGTGTGAGTTGCCGTAAAGGAATTTGTTACATCGCGAGAGCTGATATCACGCGATACTTCCTGACGCGGCCCGCCGCACCGAAGTTGCAAGTGAGATTTTTGCGCTCACAGGCACCAGGGGGGGTCGAGACGCCCACCATTCAACCCGAAAGAAGTTATATAACCATTTCAATAACTCTGAAGCTGTTCAGTTAAGCTAAAAAAGCTGCATAGTGTCCCTTTAAAGGTTTAAAAGTTATTGTTAACTTGAATGAGATTTTTACTTTCAGAACCCGACTCACACTCTATTGCTAAAGAAGTGACTGTGCTCAAACAGGTTTCCGAACACTTCATCTGTTGAAGTGCCATTGGTTAAACAAACAGTCCCACCCCAAACTCAAGCTGTTGGTTAAGCCAATGTTACTGTATATGTCAATGTTTTGATTGTTCCAAAATGTTTTTGTGCTGGTCTTTAATGGGTTAGTTCGCCTAAAAATATAACACAAATTAAGATATTTTTATTTAAATCTGAGGGATTTCTGTCCCTTCACTAAAAAATCCATTCACCCTAACCTCTTCAGAAGACTTTGATTAAACCGCTCCACGATGTATATGGATTATGTGAACTATGTCTTTATTAACTTTTTAAAGCATCAAATATTCGGGTGAATGGAGGTTCAAAAGAGGGACAGAAATCTCTCAGATTCCATTAAAATATCTTCATTTGTTTTTCAAAGATGAACAAAAGTCTTATGGATTTGGAACAAAATGATGGTGAATAAATTATGACAGAATTTTCATTTTTGGGTGAACTAACCCTAATTAAAGAAAAATTACACACTTCGGCTTTAACTGGAGGGAAGGTGGAAAAGAGGTTGAATCTTTTCCCAAAGATTCTGAAAAAAAGCTACAGATCTGTGGAGGAATCAAATTTGTGACATCAAGCAAAGAGAGTCACATGAGGAGTGTGTAGACCAAATAATTGATGATAACAATAAATCATTAAGTGTGTTTTTGGTTTCTAAAAAGGTAGCAGTGCCATGAATTAGTATTTATTTAATTCTGTAAATCATATAACTGATGAATAATAGTGTTGCTAATTGAATCTGCACACTCCTCGATACAACAGCAGGTCAAAGAATGCAACACCAGCACCAATCGACACCAGTTTTGACGATTTGAACAAGAGATACAGGTCATTCATATGTCCAAAAAATGTTTGCATGCTAGACAAATAGTCTGAAATGGGGGGAAAATGCTACAGATGACAAAAAACTGTGATAGAGTGCCGGTCTTTAAGCCTATGCCTGGCAACAAGGCAAAAGCTTGCATGACAAACACAAAAAGAGACCAAATAAGCAACAAAAAGACGCAAAAAACGAAATGGCTGGGAATGTAAAATTGAGTGGGCAAAAACATTGAAAACCAACAAGAATATTTCAATGTCTGCAGGACCCAAAAATCTTATCAAATTCAGTGCCACTGGAGTACAATGACTAGGTCAGTCCGAGGGAAAGAGAACATAGACACTACACAGACAGAGAAGTGCAAATGTCACTCCCAGGGGCCAGGGGCCCTTCTTACATCACTAGTCAGGGCACTCATTTTCTTAATGTGCCGCATCTGAGGAGTGTCAAAGGAAGCCGCACCATGGAGAGATTGCGTTTCCTCTACCTAAAAAAAGTGCAGTGAAATGGCAGGGTAACATCAATGAGATGGGACAAAACAGAGAAAATGAATTAATGGAAAAACAGATGGATGGATTACAGAGTCAGATGGATAGACATGAATAAATACAGGGCAGATGGGTAAGCAGATGAGGTGGAACAGATTACAAGAGACACTCAGGGCTCGCATAGACAATGACGGTATTAATAATGATGGGCATGAGAAGCACTGCAAAGGCGTTCTACCAGTACATTACAATGAATCTACCACTACAGCTATCTTTGAGTATTACTGCATATGCAGCTGCCATGATGGTGAAGGTGTAAGGAAAACCGTGTCAAATATATATCCAGTGGCTTCAAACTAAACCCCTGTATTCCTTGCGGATGAATACAATGAAAGTCTATGGACCACATCATATCTAGTGTGGAGTTGCTAACGGCATTACCTGACTGGTCAGTTTGGACACCTCAGTGGCCAGGGCGATATCAGGACGGCCGAGCAGCGTTCCACCACGGCTGGCTTCCTGACGAGCTTTATCACGGTATCCAATCTACAAGAACAGATTTTGCAACCTTTACTACTTACAATTATAATAACAACACATACTTTTTTGTCAAGACTTCACTAGTACAGAGGTTTGAATACTACACCCAAAAAATAAATAATAATTCATTTACTCACACTCAAGTGGTTCCAAATCCAAAAAGACTCATTCAACTTCGAAACACAATATTTTTAATAAAACCTGAGAAATTTCTTACCCTGCATTGAAATTTCAGTCCATCAAAACTTTCAATGCATAAGTGATTAAGAGATCGTAAAAGTAATTCATATAAATTGTGTGGTTTAATACAAGTCTTCTGTTAAGACATGATTGCTTGCTTTATATGATTTAATTTATGCTTTTATTCACATATAAAGATTTATCAATATACATTCATGGAGCACATCAAATATGGTAAACACGGAAGCGCAAATGTGCTGCTTAATGTAAACCAATAAGGTTTGCTCTCGGGCGTCAACCAAGCATGGTTGAGCTGCCATTGACCATGTTTGAAAGTCTCATGGGTTTGGAACGCAATAAGGGTGTGTAATTGATAATAGAATAACATTTTTTGGGTGAACTGTCCTTTTAAGTGACCCTCACCTCACTGACAAGCTTAGCAGCTTGAGTGGCTTTCCTGATGTCTGGGCGGTCAGCAACCGAGGTGTATGTCAACTTGGCTTTAGCTTCCTGCTTATAGGCGATCTACACAAGGAGAGACGAGAGATTTAAAATGATCTCTGTCTAAGACTATTAGTTGAAGGAGATACATGTTAGTTCCTTACGTTGCTTTGGTTTTTGGTCACTTCCATGGCATGTTGAACATCAGGAGGAGCAATCATTTGATTGTAATTAGACTTGCCTTTCTCCTTCTCAAACTTTTCCTTGTACAATTTCTGTGGAAAGATCGTGTGAGATTATGATTGGTGATCGCAATACAGTATAATTTCCTACAATTGAGGTTTCTTATAATAATGGGGTGAAAACTGAGTATTTCAACTTACAGCACTTGTCATTTTGGCAACCTCTTTGCTGTGGGCAGTGTCACGAGTTTCAGCAAGTGTAGTGAAGCCACCCGACTGATGATCCTTTTTGCTGGCCTCCTTGTATTTGGACTGCAGAAAAATGTATAAAACATAAATTTATATATGATAAATGAAAAAATATTTTACGAGGCTTTATATTGGTTATTATTACATTATATTGGTGCTATACCTCAGACACAAGATTGGCCACTGATTTAGCATGAAGGATTTGAGGCGTGTCATGGACAGCCACATAATGGCCCTTGGCCTTCTCATACTTCTCCTTATATTTCACCTGAAGAACAGTGACATTTTTCATTAGTTTAGCTGACATATATGTTGATTTTCAAATGTCCTGTATGGAAAATGGCACTCACGTCACTAGCGAGGTCAGTGTTCTTCTTAGCCAAAATAGTGTATTTATCATCAGCGATAGACATTACGCAGCCCTTCAGCATTTCCTTATCGTACTTATACTCAACCTATGAATTACAAAAAAAATCCGTTCATTAATCTGTAATGATTCTCTCTAAAACTGAAACTATGGTTGAAAATGGAGCGGTACGAACATCACTCTGCTGGAAACTGTTCCTAGCGGCATGGATGAAATCAGGTCTGTCCACAGTCCAGATCCACTTGTTCTTGGTGGCCTCATACTTCTTCTTGTAGTCGAGCTACAAGTCGGAGAAACACAAATAATGAGATGCTGACTTGTGATTCAACTTCACAGATGCTCAGTGTAGATCAATGCAGACTCACATTGCTTATGTTCTTGTAGGCCTCCTTGGCGGCACGGATTTCGTGAGCATCAGGTGCCATGTTGATGTGAGCCTTGTTTCTTTCATACACTTCCTTGTATTTCAGCTATAAAAAAACAGAAGTTTAAAATGAAACATACTGACATAAATAGTCTTGAATTTGGTTCCTTTTTGCAAATGTACAGAAGGGTAAACCTACGTTGCTGGTGATCTCCTTGACCTTCTTCATGTGCTGGCTCGCAGGAGTGTCATGTCCAAGTGTGTAACCTCTCGCTTTGGTCTTGTTGTATTCCATCCTATAGATGATCTAAAGAAGTGACCAGAGATGCCAAAATATAATGCATTCCCATACAATGACTGGATTATTAACTGAACATTAGGAATGTCTACTGTATGCATGTATAAATGATTTTTTACATGAAGGTGGAAGGCAGATGGTGATGATACTCACATCGCTGATTTGCTTGCTGCGCTTGGCAACTTGGTAATCAGGGGTTTCCAGCACTGAGGTGTATTTCGACTTGGCACGTTCATACTGCTCTTTGTACTTCCACTACAGGAAGTAATGGATAAGAAATGATAATCAGAGACAACACTTTTCCATTCAAATGAAGCATATCTTATATAAAGCGATTACGAAAATAAGAGTGACCTCACATCAATGGAATTTTTACAGTATTATATTTACTGTTATAAGGATCACTAAGTAAGACACTGTGATATTTAAGTTGTATAACAACTGTCAATATCATGCATTAAAAGGGAAGGTTCAATCATGACAGACTTAAGTTAAAGTACATGTAAGTTGTATAACAACTCAATTTCGTGCATTAAAAGGGAAGGTTTATTCAATCTATTCAAAGGAGCAAATAATTACTTATGTTTAGCAGTTAATAAAGACGCACACATACATACATGCAATAGAGAACATGCAATGTGCTGTCAAACAAAATGGAGAGGGAGGTGGAAAGCAGCTTCAGACAACAGCATACAGAAAGACATCGACAAGTTACAACTTATTACTACTACTGTATAATGTCTTTACCCTTTATGCTCATACTCTCTAAATGTTTGTCTCTAATTTTCCTTTTATTAGTGCTTCTATTTGTAAAAATTTGTGTGACATTTTGAACTAATTGTTTTTTATTAATTAAAGCAAAGCTATTTATTTTATTTTATTATATTTTAATAAAGTAATTCATTTAAACAAAAAAAAATGCATCATTGATTCTTTGTTCATTGCAAAATAATAAACTGATTTAAAGAAACTAAAGGAAAACACTACCATGACACCTTAAAGTAGGGGAGGTTTTTGCTAGTTTATCAATATTTTTCCGAATAAAACGTGTGACAACTTGCTCTGAAAAATTGTGACGACCTGACATTTATACAAAACATCCATATTCTAACATTGTTTACTTTTCAGTTAAAGTCTACTTCCATTATATAGCTAACTACTGTATGACTGCAGCACACCTTTTCTCCTAAGAAAGTTATGGAAAGTGATCAGTGGATGTGTTTTAAAAGCAGGGTATGGTGGAAAAACCAAAGTAGTAATAGTTAAAGGCTGGATATTACCACTAAAGGTGACGTTAGGGGTGCATTAATGAAGAGATGAGATTTCTAGGGGGCTTGGAAGGCTCTACCAGTGGGCAGGTGGTTACCTTACTCCACATGCCAGAGTTGTACATGGCAACGAGAATATCAGGACGGAGCAGCTCATTGCAGCCACTCTTGAGTAACTCCTTGGCCTTGCATTTATATTTTTCCTGTCCATTGAGGAAACACACAAACACAGATGCGCAAAAATCATGCCACAATTGAAGACAGAGACAGAGAGTAGCTCCTGAAGTCCAGAAAGAGAAGCTCAGTACCAAACTGTGTACTCCAAATACGCAATTTCACAAGAGTAAACTGAACCTTATCCCCACCTTATGACCTATCAAACTGTTTAGATGGAGCCCTATCTGGAGCACACAGATATGGACCTAGCTGTGCACACTCAAAAATTCCCATTTGGGTTTTTTGAATGGCAAACTAGCAGACACCTAAATCAGGGGAGAGAAAGAGACACAATCAAGTGACGTTGTAGCCATGCGACAGAGCCATCCATTGGATCGGAGACGACCTCATGCTCGGGCCCCTGTAGCAGGCGATGGACCCGCAGGGGACGGCTGGAGCTGGTGGCTTTACCTGACTCAGCTTGCTGGCCTCCTTAGCCAAGATGTTTCTAGGGTCATCTACAACTATGGTGTACTTATCCTTAGACTTCTCATAGCTGGCACGGTAGGACCTCTGCTCAGGATTTCAAAAAAGGAGTTAAAGACAACTGCCTTGAGAGCAGTGAGGATGAACATTCATTCAGGAGGAGAAAATATGTCATGACAGGTAAATTCAAAGTGAAATTTTAGTAAAGATATGGAAATATATATATCATTTTCATGAAATATAAAGGAAACAAACAGTTTGAGGTGGTATTAAGCATGTTGCAATAGTTTACCTTTAAAGATGTAACCATTATAGAGGCAGTGGAAGAAACACAGGTTATGTACGCAATTGTTTATGTTGTATTTTTACAGCATTCTTGCCAGGGTTCTCTTGCTTCATTACTCACATTGTGTTTAGCATTTAATATACCCCAGTATTATGATATGAAGTCATGCTTCTATTGACTTACATCATTAATCAAAAGGGAAGCGTTCTTGGCAGCCTCAAAGAATGGTGTGTCACATGTGTATTTGAAGTTGGCTCTGTTCTTCTCGAATGACGCTTTGTATAGTCTCTGTCAAAAAAAAAGATAGAAGAGAGTATGAGGCGGCTTTTGTTGTATCCCATTGTACTGAATATTCATTGTACTTTCACGGTAAACCAATGTTTACCATGTTTTCTGTATCCCCCCCCCAAAAAACAACTTTTGGTTAGGGAAATATGAAATCTGATGCATTCATTTTTTTTATTGATGGATGCATCAGATTTCAATCTGATGCGAAAAGGGTCCATAACTGTACCCATTAACGCATCTGTAGTAAAAAATAGTAAAATTGTGGTTGCTCTTTACTTCGCTGTAGAGGGTCTTGTTGTGTTCAGCCTGCACCATCTCAGGTGTGTCCCACACGTAGCAGCCGATGCCCTTGATCCAGTCCAGATCTTCTTTGTACTTGACCTAAAGGGAAGAAGAACACGTGACAGTGGTTAAACGGCACTATGAGCTTCTGTTAATGACACTGTGAGCTGACGAATTACAGAATAAAAAGAGAAGGTGGGTTTAGTTATACTCACATCACTGATGCAGTCCCTCACAATCCTGCTGTGGAAGAACTCAGGGCGGTCAGGGATGGACTTCCAGGTGCCCAATGTGCTGATGTACTTCTCCCTGTATTTGACCTGAGAAAAGGAGAGAGTGAGTGACAGGATTCCTCACTAAATCACATTTTACATTTTCAAGGCAAACAAAAAGTCTCTTAGTTTACTAACCTCACTGATGTCATCTCTGACCCTCTTGGCACAGAGAATATCCAGTGCGTCTTTGTCAGCGTGGTAGTGTCCCTTAGCAAGCTCAAAGGTCTCCTTGTAGCGCAACTGGAGAGAAATGATATAGATTGTTAGGGCGGCTCTATAATTGATATTGAACAGGCCAGTAAAGGAAGAAATAAAGCATCTGGCTGACTTACATCGCTGGCATTGAGGTAGGCCTTCTTAGAACGAACCAGGATTGGTGTGTCATGAATGGGAGTATACTTGTGCTTCATCTTCTCATACTGTTCCTTGTACTTTTTCTAAAGATGACACAAAAGATGAATTACAGGCTTTTCTGCATACATTACACACATGTTATACATTGCTAAAAAGGATCTTGGTGTTAAAAAAAATTACCTCACTGTACACCACTTTCATGGAACGGGCATGATCCATGATGGGAGTATGTGATTCGGGGGTGAAGAAGGCCCTCTCCTTAGATGCCAGATCAACGTACTGGTACTGTGAAGAGACACCAGTATTATATAGGCAAATCTGTATAGGCAATTTTTTTTCCAGTACATTGAGAACATTTATTAGAAAAGATTTAAAAACACTAGGCATCATACACTTGTCGACTTTGTAAATGGTTACAGAGAAAAACTGGGTTTTACACTAAATGACTGAGGATCACACACTACCACAAACAACCAGAAGTCCATCTGAAATTAACAAACTCACACAGAAATATGTGCTTGTTGCCAGGAGACGCATGACAAATTGAGACAATTTCAGCTCAAAATATCAATATCTTCCAACTGAACGGAATCAAAATCTGAAGCTTGTGACAGATGCTTTCTTCAGTAAAATGCATATCTTTGACTGGAAATCGCTTTTGCCAATTACATCAGCGAGGGTCTGACTATCATTTGTAAAACCTGACCCATTTAATTTTGAACCCTTAGTATGATCTTTTAATTTGACATATTATAACAAGTAATTATTTATGTTTAATTAGGGTTTGGGCTAAAAGTGATTTACCTTGTTGGTGAGAGACTGCGCCCACTTGGCTCTCTTAATCTCCAGGCCATCCACAGTGGTGGTGCATTTTGTCTTTTCCTTATTTCCATCAGCTCGATACACCATCTGAGGATAAAAACACATAAAGAGACAGTGAAGGATGTGGATAGGCTTTAATACAGGAATGATGAAGTCTATAACTGAGAAATAAAGCCTGAGGATGCAACAAAATCACTTACATTACTCATGTGGGTCTTGAGTTCAGACACACGCTTGTACTCTGGTGTGTCCAGGACCACACTGAAGTTGGAAAAGTTCTTCTTAGCATCAACTTCATATGATTTCTAGCAAATAGATAAAAATAAAAAAAACTGAATAGTACCAAAAATCAATAGAATAAACCATTATGAATGAAATGTGGCATGCATGATAATAAGTGAATGAATAATTACTCTAAACTTGGTGATCTCACGGATTCGGTTCATCTCAGGGGAGTCCACCATAAAGCAGCCAATACCTCTCAGCCAATGCAGATCCTCTTTATATTTCAGCTGCAGGAGATATAAGAACAGTTATTATACCTGAAAATGTCAAGAGGGCAAATACAACGTTTCCAGTATGCAATGTGTCACAGTAAATGTATGGGGGACACCTACATCGCTGTTGAGCTCATTGACATGGAAGCAGTGCAACAGCTGTGGGGTGATGGGCATTGGCAGAAAAGATCCTCTGCTGTTGTAGTACTTTTCCTTATAGCACACCTGTAGAGGAAAATAAACCATCAATAGAGCATCTGATAATTTTGGTGGTATCGTATTAACTCATATTTCACAATAAAGACATACTTACATCACTGATTGCTTGCTGAGTGGCCTTAACCTGTCTGATCTCAGGTGTGTCATACTCAGAGTGGATCTTGTCCTTTTCCTTCTCATATTTCTCACGATACAGCCGCTATGACAAAATGCAACCTTGTTAATATTCTTGTTCATGATAAAGTTAAAAATTCTAAAGTGAAACGCTATACATGGATATTGTACTTACTTGGTTGGTGACCTTGTTGGCATTCCTGATGGTGAGAAAGTTGACACCTTCAGGATCTAGTTTGTAGCTCCTGGCTTTCATCAGATCATAGGCTTCCCTGTACTTCATCTACAGAGATTGTAACATCAGATGAGATGCAATCCTAACATTTGACTCTTTTTTTTTTATTTTGAGAATTGAGGTGTTCTCGTACATTACTGGTGACGATGCTGTTGGCTTTGGCCTGTTTGTTGAGTGGAGTGTCATAAGGCAGAGTGTATCCGGTAGGCATTAAGATCTTATTGGCCTCTTTGTAGAAGTTCTAAAAAGAAAGAAAGGATGTGATTTAAACATTCATCAATGGAGAGACCAGTACATATTCTTATGAATTGTTAAGAGACGTCATACTTCGCTCTGGATGTAGTTGGCTTGACGGGCCCTTTCAGTATCGACAGTCACAGCAGGAGCAGTGTTTTTGCCCATGACATTAGTGACATAGTCATGACGGTAGTTGAGCTGCAGACATGAAGGATATGAGTTAAAAGATTCTGCTTCAATCAAAATGCAATAAAGGTATTCTGATACATGTTTTTGAGGTGTTACCTCGCTCAAGTTCTTAGCGCTCAGCTTGCATGTTTCATAGACAGGGGTGTCCATGACCACAGAGTACTGCTTAAAATGCTCGATTCCCTTAGCTCTGTACTGATTCTGAAAGACAGTATCACACAGGACAAGAAGATCCGATGTGAGATGATTATGGGGTAGGAGGAGCATGCAAGAAAATGAAATGAGGCTACACTTACGTCACTCTGCAGGTTCATAGATTGCTTGCAACGAAGAATCTCAGGAGTGTCCCAAGCATAGCAGCCAATACCCTTTAACCAGTTGAGGTCATCTTTGTAGAAGATCTAAATTAGATGCAATAATACAGGGTTACAACAACAAAAAGACCTCAAAACATCTCAGGTAGTGGAACCTAACGTGCTTGCCATTTGCATATGACAATACACAAAAATATGAAACGTGTTTGGATGTAGGGATAACTCACGTCGCTCAGTTGCTCGTTGACCTTGCGGGCATGTACGTACACCTGCATGTCAGGCAGGCAGATCCACTGATGCAGGTATTTACGGTAGTCAACCCCACTAACAGTCTTCTGAGTATTGCGTGCGGCTACAATGTCAAGCATGTCGGGAGGTATATTGATTTTAGCCTTGGTCTTCTCATATTTGTCTTTGTACAGGCGCTAATGAAAAAGGTGTTACAAAGAGCTTTTAATTGTTTGTACATTTGGTAAGTTACAAAGCTGAACCTCAGCTGATGCTTTACTCACATCCAGAACCAGTTTTCCAGCTTTTATACATCTTGCAGTGCCGGGGTCGTCCTCAAGACACTTAGGCAGACTGTACAGGGTCTTGAACTTCTCATAATCTTCCTTGTATTTAACCTACAGAAACCAAGGAAGGTTTAACGGGCAGTATGTTTAGGACACTCAGGCAGTTCCCTCTATATGGAGGCATAAGTAAGCACTGGAGAAGGGACTCACATTGCTCAGGATGACCTTCTGTTGTTTGGCATGGGCTAAGGCATGGGAATCATGAGGGATGTTGTAGCTCTTGGCCTTGATCTTGTCCCAAGCAGCAGAATATGCTTTCTGAATGTAGACAAAGAACATTTCAAGAACTGGGACAACAAATAAAACCAGGAACTCAGGATTTTAGAGCTTTTCTCGCAGGCTTACGGTGCTGTAGATCTCCTTCAGGTTGAAGCATCTTGCGTATTCCTGGGTGTCCAGAATGGTGGTGTAAATATGCTTCTCCTTATGATATGCCTCTCTGTAGTTCAACTGAAGATGAAACATAAAATATGCAGCGTATTACCATTTAAACTCCAGAGTATAGAGCTCTTGATAGTACTCAAGGATCTGACTTATCAGTTAATGGGAGTACAAACCTCACTGGCCCAAGTGTGGCCCAGGATGGCAGTCACATATACAGGGGTGTCTGTCACAATGGAGTAGTTGTTCCATTCCTTCTTGCCTTCTGCTTTGTATTTAATCTGTTTGGGGGAAAAAAAATTTAACCTTCAAACAGGTGGAAACACAATAATGTGTCTTTATTGTAAACTACAAGATGAGTTGAAAATGTTACTCACATCACTCTGTAGCTCATATGATTTCTTGGCACGTACGATCTCAGGAGTGTCCCAGGCGTAACAGCCAACGCCCTTCATCCAGTTCAGGTCTTCTTTGTAGAACACCTGCCAGGGAGAAATTAGTCAAATGTAGCCATTGAACAGGTCTGACACATTCAAAATATCACTGTAATCATAACCTACATCACTCAAGATCTCATTGGCCTTGCGTGCACGGATGGCATCGTTCTGATCAGGGTGGCATGTCCACTGGTGCAGGTGTGTACGGTATAGCACATCACTTAGGATTTCCTGGCATTTCTTGGCAACCACATGGCTGATCATATCAGCAGGAATGTGGAGCTTAGTTTTGGTTTCATTGTAGCCTTTGTGGTAGTCTCTCTGATGGACAGATTGAAAAAAGTCTGGTTGATGAGGAGTTCAACTATAAGATAAGTCAAGTGGATATCAAAGTACAGCGATGCCTTAGACCTCAGGCATGGTAATAATAAAAACAACAACTCACCAGATTTTTCATCTTCTCCATTTGGCCAGAGCGAACCACCTCAGGGTAGTCAACCAGAGTTGAAGCCATGTAGTGGCCTTTGGCTTTCTCATGGGCATCATGGTACTTATACTGCGGTGTTTCAATACAAGAAAGAATCAACAATCATCCCTTCTAAACCAGTATTTAACAGTGTTTGAAGCAAACAATCAATATAGGTATAATATTTTAAAAAAAAAGCCTTTTTTAAACACTGCACTGTCAGTAACTGACCCAAGTTATGTGGAAATAAGGAAAGGGTCTATTTTATTTCATTTTAATTCATTTTTGATACTCACATTACTGATCATGTCTCTGGTCCTCTTGGCTATTTGTACTGGCATATATTCATGGTTCAGCTGGTAGCCAGTGGCTTTGCTCTCATCCCAGTTGACTTTGTACAATTTCTAGAATAACAACAACAAAACATCCTAAATGCAATTCATCACATATACATAATATCTAAACATATACAAACATGTCTGAAATGGACTTTGTTACCTCACTGATTATCTTTGCAACATCTCTAGAGTGAGCCAGCTGTGGTGTATCTTCAGATCCAATGTAGTGACCCTTCTCCAGGTTAAATGATTCTTTGTACTTTAGCTGAGTAACAACAGAAAGATCGACCCAGTCGATAAGTTAACCTCTTTCACATCAGCATTCCCCAATGAAGATGAAAATGCCAAAATCTGAGAGACACTTACATCGCTGAGGTTGAAGGCATTAACCTTTGCAAGGACAACCTCAGGGCGATCCACAATGTGAGTAAATTTGCTAAAGTTGTCTTTAGCATCCTTCTTATAAAGTCTCTGCGTGGGGAAAAGAAACGGGCATTGTTGTAAGATAATGGAGGTTTTATTATAACAGAGAAGTTAGACAAAAAAGTGTGGTCAAACTTACTTCGTTCATAATCTTTTGGGCATTTCGGACTTTGACATGATCTACACAATCAGCAGCCACCCATCCACAACCACGTAACCATTCCAGATCTGCTTTGTAGACATTCTGGTGGGAGAGCATTATTACATTACATTACATTATGTTACATTGCATTACATTACATTATATTATATTAAAATCAGTTAAATCATTACATTGCATTACTGTTTTATATAGTAATTGAAAATGTAAATTTATTCCGTATTTCAATAAACGAGAACAATTATTTTGATTTAAAAACCTCTTCATCCAATACTTACGTCACTGGCTAATTCATACGCTTTACGGGCCTGAATAACATCATTTTGATCGGGCATGCATGTCCACTGGTGCAAGCGAGTTCTGTAGTTGTCATCATTGACTTGGATCTGGCACTTCTTTGCATGCTCAAAAGCTATCATGTCCACTGGGAGGTTGAACTTGGTCTTGGACTTGTTGAAGTCCTTCTTGTAGAGAGCATCACTAGCAATTCTAGCTGAGTTCAAAGCCAGCACAAGCAAAGGATCATCCTGGACACTGAGGGCTCCAATGTGATGACCAACTTGCTTACGATAACCAGCCTTGTACTTGTACTGCAAAAAAGGAGGAAGATTTATTTGCATACATAAATAAAATTAAGGTGAAATGAGTTTAGGATTAGGATTATTTATTTACTTACATCACTCTGCACTTTACTGGTGTTGATGCATTGTTTAATTGGGACTGCATCTCCGGGCATGAAGTATGATGTGGATTTGGCCTTGTCCCAGTTTTTGGTGTACAAATGCTACAAGTGATATTTAAAATGTCATTTTTGTTACTATTCAACTTTTTTATTCAACAATTCATACAGACAATATTTTTTCTCAAAAAGAAAAAAGGCTTTACCGGGTGGTGCATTTTGGCCACTTCCCTTGCTGTCGCTAGAACTGGGGAGTCTGTCAAGGTGTATTTAGTCTTGTCCTGGTGCCAGGCCTCACGGTACTTAGCCTGAGAAGACAAAACAAAGAGGACACTTAGAGAACAGTCATATGTTTGGAGAGAACATGATTTTGGAAACTATATATACTGTAAAAGTTCTGTTGTTTGAGTAACTACATGGAAAACCAATGCTTATTAGAGGTTCAAGCATGAAGTGTGCCCTAAAAATCTCTTACTCCATTCATTCACTATTAAAAACAATATAAAAAAATAATAATTTGTTACATTTATATAGCACTTTTCTGGGTACTCAAAGCGCTTTACATAGAAGGGGGGAATCTCCTCTACCACCACCAATGTGCAGCATCCACCTGGATGATGCGACGGCAGCCATGTTGCGCTAGAACGCCCACCACACACCAGCTTACTGGTGGAGAGGAGACAGTGATGAAGCCAATCAGTATTTATGGGGATGATTAGGAGGCCATGATGGACAGGGGCCAATGGGCAAATTTGGCCAGGATGCCGGGGTTAAACTCCTGGGATTTTTAATGACCACAGAGAGTCAGGACCTCGGTTTAACGTCTAATCCGAAGGACGCTGCTCTTTGACAGTATAGTGTCCCCATCACTATACTGAGGCGTTAGGACCCACACAGACCACAGGGATAGCACCCCCTGCTGGCCTCAATAACACCTCTTCCTGCAGCAACCTAGTTTTCCCAGGAGTCTCCCATCCAGGTACTGACCAGGCTCAACCCTGCTTAGCTTCAGTGGGCAACCAGTCTAGGGCTACAGGGTGATATAGCTGCTGGCCAATATCACCCTGTGCCAATATTAGGAAGCATTTTAATGATATGGCTTTGAAACTGAAAGTTATTATTATTATTATTTTTACATGTATGGAAACTACTTGCATAAATAAAGTACATTGTTTGATGATGGCTATTTAATTTCTCTTTTCATTAAATGAAAATGTAAAATTAAATGTAAATTTAAAATTAACCGTAATTACAATTTTATCATTGTTTATCATTGTTGTTTTCCTTTGTATGAATGGATGCTTGCAAATTATGTCGTATTGCTTACCTCATTGAGCACTTCAGCTGCGTTTTTGGAGCGCACAAAGTCAATTCTTTCAATGGGTGTTGTATATTTCTGATCGTCCAGCTTCACACGGTAGCCTCTCTGTGAATCAGAAAAAAAAAACAATCACACCTCTGTGTTGCATAAACTCATTGGTAGAAATAGCTACAGTATATAGTGCCAAAAGACTTACGTCAGCCAGGATCTTTTGGGCATTCCTCACTTTGATAACTTCAACAGACTCATGGGGAATCCATCCACATCCCCTGAGCCACTCCATGTCAGCCTTGTAAACAGCCTAAACAACAAAAACAATCAAATGAAAGAAAGTATCACACTATTTCCTAGATTTTTTTCAATGGAACCATTTTAACCGTTTAATCAAAGCTCAACTTACATCACTGCGCAGATCATAGACTTTTCTGGCCTGCACGACATCATTGGAGTCTGGCAGGCAGGTCCAGTTGTGCAGGTAGGTTCTGTAGTTGAAATCATTGACCTGGGTCTGACATTTCTTGGCCAGCTCAAGAGACAGCAGATCCGCTGGGAGGTTGAACTTGGTCTTGGACTTGTTGAAGTCCTTCTTGTAGAGAGCATCACTAGCAATCCTAGCTGAATTCAAGGCAAGCATGATCAAGGGATCATCCTGGACACAGCGGGCTCCAATGTGATGACCAACTTGCTTACGGTAACCAGTCTTGTACTTGTACTGCATTTGAAAGATTTGAAGTATTCATATTTACATTACTCTTAAATAACAGAGGAGAACATTTCAAAGCCAAAATTAAAGATAGCTAATCAAAACCTTTTACAATATAAGAGAGAGAAAATACTACAAAGTTTAGAAAACAGACAGAAAAAACATGACTTTGCGTTTTCTTACGTCACTGGCTATGTCTCTGGAGGCTTTAGCCTTGATCACAGAAACGGCATCCTCTTTGATCTGGTAACCCTTTGCCTTTCCAGCATCCCAGTCTTTGGTATACATTTTCTGCAACAGGACAAAAAAGTGGAAAGTGTTACCCAATAGTTTAATAGCATAATAAGCTCATAAAATAAAGTTAATTTTAGCAATACTCAGCAATTCTGCATGTGAGTTTGCTTACATTGCTGACAGCAATGGCATTGGCTCTGGACAACTCGATGGCAGGTGTATTTGGCATGATGTGGACAGATGTCTTATCTTTTTCCCATGCTTCTCTGTATTTTCTCTGTGAAAAAAAAAAAAAAAGGTTAAGGGCTTTATTTGGCACACATTGACGCAAAAACAAAAAAAGACACAATTCAATTCACAAGTCTATTACACTAATTTAGAAATATTTTACATTTATAATTAACTGTACACATAGTCGTAATTACTATCATTACTACTACAACTATATTCTTCCAATATTTAAATGTTTTGATTAATAATAATATTTGTAATTGAAATTAAAATAAATATAATTTTACCCAGTGTTTGTGCTATTCATTTTTATGCTTCATAATTTTTAAGCAGTCTTCAACTGTAATCTGAACATAAATCTGAGTGAAGTACTAAAGGAAAGGCAATAATCTTACATCACTGAGGATGTCAGCATTTTGCTTGGCTAGGACGATGACCGGCAAGTCCACAGCACTGGTGAACTTGACAGTACTGGGAGGCTGGCGATACAGATTCTCGTTGAGGATCGTCTGAGCATTCTTGACTTTGATGACATCAATAGATCCTTGCGTCATCCAGCCACACCCACGGATCCACTCAAGGTCAGCTTTGTATACAGCCTAGTTTGAAAGTTTACAACAAAGATGTTAATTTAGTAATATAACAAACCAATGTAAACAGCACAGTGTGTGAAACTAATCATATACGTACATCACTGCGCAGATCATAGACCTTCCTGGCCTGGACGACATCATTGGAGTCGGGCAGGCAGGTCCAGTTGTGCAAGTGTGTTCTGTAGTTGAAATCATTGACCTGGATCTGACATTTCTTAGCCAGCTCAAGAGACAGTAGATCCGCTGGGAGGTTGTACTTGGTCTTGGATTTGTTGAAATCTTTCTTGTACAGAAGATCACTAGAAATCTTGCCTGAGTTCAAGGCCAGCATGATTAAGGGATCATCGTGGATGCTGAGGGCGCCAATGTGGTGTCCTTGCTGCTTCCTGTATCCGGTTTTGTACTTGTACTGCAAGGTTTTAATGCATAAAAGAGATTGAGCACTATCATTTAACAGAGTGTGTTTAATGTGTTAGATAAGATCCACAATGATACTTGCATCACTAATGATGTCTCTGGAAGCCTTGGCAGACTTCACTGCGACGGCATCCTTAGGCAGGAAGTAGCCCTTCTTAAGGCTGTTCTCATAGTCTTGACGGTAATATTTCTGCAAGAACATGGGGAATCAACACTTATTGATTTAACAGGATTTGAAACATTAACTATTGTGCATTTATTTCTGATTTATAAGTCACTACGAAACAGTGTTTCTATACTTACGATGCTTGTGTTGAGTTTGTTCTGTTTTCCAAGCACAATCTCAGGGGTGTCTGGCATGACATGGATATGGATCTTATCCTTATTCCAGGCATCAACATATGCACTCTGCAATGCAATAATAATGAAGACAAAAATTTAGACGCATGCACCTATGCACTACACAACCCCAACCTGCAACAGTGATTTCAAACAGTGATTAAATTTTTTTTTACCTTTACACAGTGAAATCTTCTATGAAAAAAAATACCTTGTCCATGGTCTTGGCATTGGCTTGGGCAAGAGCAAAAGGTACGGAATCTGTCTTGCTAGTATACTTTAAGGTGCTTGGATGCTGTCGGTACTTCCTTTCATTCAGAATCTCACCAGCCTTTTTAGCCTTCTCTACATCAACTGAGCCAATGGGTACCCATCCTGTACCTCTGATCCAATCCATATCAGCCTTATACACAGCCTGATGGCAGAAAATACATGATAAATAGCAAGAAAGCAGACAATGCTGGTAGTGTAGATCTATTGATTACGATTACAAATAAAAAAATTACAGAAACTCACATCGCTCTGAAGATCATAGACTTTCCTGGCCTGGACGACGTCATTGGAGTCGGGCAGGCAGGTCCAGTTGTGCAGGTAGGTTCTGTAGTTGAAATCATTGACCTGGGTCTGACATTTCTTGGCCAGCTCAAGAGACAGCAGGTCCGCTGGGAGGTTGTACTTGGTCTTGGACTTGTTGAAGTCCTTCTTGTAGAGAGCATCACTAGCAATCTTAGCTGAGTTCAAGGCCAGCATGATCAAGGGATCATCCTGGACGCTGAGGGCTCCAATGTGATGACCAACTTGCTTACGGTAACCAGCCTTGTACTTGTACTGCAAGAGAAAGATGATTGCAGCATTAAAGATGTCTCCTATTTATACTTACATGACAGGGCAATAAGAGAGAAAATGTATCAATCAGCTTGTAATATCAGTGTGACTTTCTAGACAGTATATACTCACATCACTAATAATTTCTCTGGATTTTTTAGCAGCTTTGATGGCGACAGCATCGGTTTTGATGTCATAGCCTTTCCTGAAAATGTCCTCAACCGCTTGTCTGTATAGTTTCTGTAAGCAGAATTTTATTTTGTATTTTATGTTTTTTTTAAGTGAAATGTTAAATTGGAATATTTTGGAAATCAAACAGAATGCATGAATTTGAGAGGCTTAGTTTAACAACTTAAACAAAAAATATAATGAAGAAAAAAAAATCATTCAAAAGTGATACTTACCCTACTATTGGTAATTGCATTAGCCTTTGAGAGCACAACCTCTGGGATATCAGGAGGGATGTGGATCTTTATCTTGTCAGCCTCCCATGCTGCATGGTACTGACGCTAGAATGAAAAAAATATGTTGTCCGCAACAATTTCAATACCGTGTCAGCTGTTATTAAGGACAATAAGAACATCTTGCAACGGATCAAAAATAACATAAAAGAGTCATATATGCAAATTAATGTATACTAAACCTTATGTAGTAATTGATATTGACTAAATTGTTCTCCAGAGAATTGTTGACATAGTTCAGTCGGATTCCAATCATATGACATTTATTCTACTAACCTGATCCATAGTTTGAGCATTTGCCTTTGCAAGCACCAAAGGCATGGACTGCATGTCTTGTGTATACTTGAATGTTTGTGGTTTCTGTCTATAAAGTCGCTCGTTGAGGATCTCAGCTGCTTTCTTTGCTTTCAGGACATCAAGCGAGCCAATGGGGACCCATCCTACACCAGTCATAAACTCCATGTCTGCTTTGTACACAGCCTGAGGTGAAGAGGAAATGTTACTTTGCAAAACAAAACAGTTCATATTTGATTAAAAAGTATCTGTAGAAATAATTGAATGCCATTTTAGCTTGACAAACGTACATCGCTACGGAGATCATAGACTTTTCTAGCCTGGACGACATCATTGGAGTCTGGCAGGCAGGTCCAGTTGTGCAGGTAGGTTCTGTAGTTGAAATCATTGACCTGGATCTGACATTTCTTGGCCAGCTCAAGAGACAGCAGATCCGCTGGGAGGTGGAACTTGGTCTTGGACTTGTTGAAGTCCTTCTTGTAGAGAGCATCACTAGCAATCCTAGCTGAATTCAAGGCAAGCATGATCAAGGGATCATCCTGGACACAGCGGGCTCCAATGTGATGACCAACTTGGTTACGGTAACCAGTCTTGTACTTGTACTAAAAATAACAAATAAAAAGTTTTTAGAAAGTAATTGTGAATAATAATGTGTGCGTTTGACACAAACTGTTTAAAAAAAGTCACTCACGTCACTGACGATATTCCTGGATGCCTTAGCTGCTTTGATAGCAATAGCATCACCGCGCAAATCGTAGCCCTTCTTCTTAGATTCTTCATTGGCAAGTTTATACCTTTTCTAAAATTGGAAAATATTTTATAGATTTAGAGTTATCAGAAATTTTTTTAAATGTGAATATTTCAGACATACACTGTACATACCTCACTGTAATTTATATTGTTTTGCTTTGCCAATAGAACATCCATACAGTCAGGCATAATGTGGATTTTCGTTTTATCCTTTTCCCAGGCTTCAGTGTAAAGTTTCTATAAGAGTTGAATAAAATTATATGTCAGACATTTAAAACTTGAAGCTATTTGTAAGAGTTCTTGTGTTCAGAAACCTACTGACAAGATTTACCTTGTTTGCATTAGTAGCATTATTTTTAGCTAAAACTAGTGGCATGTCTTCAGTAGTAACGGTGAACTTAAAGTTGCTTGGGTGCTGACGGTACTTCCTTTCATTCAGGATTTCCCCAGCCTTTTTCACTTTCTCAACATCAACTGAACCAATGGGAACCCATCCTAATCCTTGAAGCCATTTCAGATCAGCCTTGTACACTGCCTAATTGCACAGACAAAAAATAAATAAATAAATAAATAAAAATAAATAAATATATATATATATATAATATATATATATGAATAATTTGACATGATTGTAGCAAGAAATAACAAAAGTCTAGAGGACTTTAAATAGACGTACATCACTCTGGATCTCATAACATTGTCTGGCCTGGACGACGTCATTGGAGTCAGGCAGGCAGGTCCAGTTGTGCAGGTAGGTTCTGTAGTTGGCATCATTGACTTGGATCTGGTTCTTCTTGGCCAACTCAAAAGCTATCATGTCCACTGGGAGGTTGAACTTGGTCTTGGACTTGTTGAAGTCCTTCTTGTAGAGAGCATCACTTGCAATTCTAGCTGAATTCAAAGCCAGCACGAGCAAAGGATCATCCTGGACGCTGAGGGCTCCAATGTGATGACCAACTTGCTTACGATAACCAGTCTTGTACTTGTACTACAGTTGAATGAATAAGGGCAATTAGAGTGAATAAAAGACTAGGAGAACATTCTGGACCATGAACTACGAATGACTATGAATAAAGAAAGGACAAAAGCACTCACATCACTGATGATATCCCGAGAGGCTTTAGCTGCTTTAATAGAAATGGCATCACCACGCATGTCATAGCCTTTCTTTTTGGCCTCCTCATTTGCAAGCGTATATTGTTTCTGGAAATAAAAACAATAGTTAAAGAAATTATGTTATATCAATAAATATAATATAATTTAAATGCCCACAATTATTAAGAAAGTAACAAAAGTAAATATGGGAAAAAATATATAACTTCTCATTAACAGTTCAATGACTTGAACCGAATGACTCACCACACTGTAGTTAATTTTATTCTGTTTGGCAAGCAATATCTCCATTGTATCTGGCATGACGTGGATCTTGGTCTTATCCTTTTCCCAAGCTTCCACATAGCTTTTCTATAGTGTAAAGGAAAATAAAAAGAATCATAAATGCAAAGCATCTATACACATTACAATGGAAAAGAGAAGAAATTTAATGATTCTGATCAAATCAGGCTACCTTGTTCATGATGCCTGCATTGTTTTTGGCCAAGACCAGAGGCATATCTTCAGTTGTGCAAGTGAACTTGAAGTTGCTTGGGTGCTGACGGTACTTCTGTTCATTTAGGATTTCTCCAGCCTTTTTCACCTTCTCAACATCAATCGAACCAATGGGAACCCATCCGAGTCCTTGGAGCCATTTAAGATCAGCTTTGTACACCGCCTGAGAACAAACATAGCAAAAACATTGCCATTATGTACAGAAATTATATGCCTGTATAAACTGGATGTTTTTGAAAAATGGAGATCTCACTTTTTAAAATCCTAAATATAGCATATCTATGTAGCAGCTTACATCACTCTGAAGATCATAGACTTGTCTGGCATGGACGACATCATTGTATAACAAACCAATGTAAACAGCACAGTGTGTGAAACTAATTATATACGTACATCACTGCGCAGATCATAGACCTTCCTGGCCTGGACGACATCATTGGAGTCGGGCAGGCAGGTCCAGTTGTGCAAGTGGGTTCTGTAGTTGAAATCATTGACCTGGATCTGACATTTCTTGGCCAGCTCAAGAGACAGTAGGTCCACTGGGAGGTGGAACTTGGTCTTGGACTTGTTGAAGTCCTTCTTGTAGAGAGCATCACTAGCAATCTTCGCTGAGTTCAAAGCCAGAACAAGCAAAGGATCATCCTGGACACTGAGGGCTCCAATGTGATGACCAACTTGCTTACGATAACCAGTCTTGTACTTGTACTGTTTAAAAGAAAGAGTGGTTTATGACACGAGTTAATTTTATGATTTGAAATGTTTTGTTGACTTTTTAATGCTGTAAATCAAAATACTCACATCGCTGACAATATCCCTGGAAGCCTTGGCTGCTTTGATGGCGATGGCATCACTTCGCAGGTCATAGCCCTTCTTTTTAGCTTCCTCGTTTGCAAGCTTGTATGAATTCTTAGAAAACATTCAAATAAACAATCATTTTATTACAAAATTCACAAAGTAGAAAATAATATATAAATTATTAATCAAGGACATCCATTATACACCATTAGGGGCTAATGCTGTGTCATACTTACCACACTGTAGTTGGCCTTGTTTTGTTTTGCTAGTACAATGTCCATAGCATCTGGCATAACATGGACCTTTGTCTTGTCTTTGTTCCAGGCGTCAACATATTGTTGCTATCAATAGGAGCATGAAATTGAAAAATAAGAAAAACACTTCATATCCACACATCAACTGTCTACACACTTAAAAAATTAAATAAATGAGAAAATTACACATGCATATGTAAAATCTGATCAGCAGTTACCTTGTTCATGACATCATTGTTGGCTTTAGCCAAGACAATCGGCATGTCTTGAGTTGTCATGGTGAATTTGAAGTTGCTTGGGTGCTGACGATACTTATTTTCACTCAGGATTTCTCCAGCCTTTTTCGCTTTCTCAACATCAAGAGAACCAATGGGGACCCATCCGAGACCTTGAAGCCATTTTAGATCAGCCTTGTAAACAGCCTAAGAGCATATTATGTTGAAAGAATACCTGTTAGTGACTATACAGCTTATTTATTGGTATCTTGGTAGCTTTATCTCTTTATGTCTTATCTCTAAGGACTCAAGCAATCCCTTTTTCTATTTTAATAACACTCTTGCATACTGGCTACAAACTAAAAAAAAAAATGGAAAGTCAATTCCATGAAGATCCAGAAATGGATAAATGGATCAACAGAAGATGGATATCACATACATCACTCTGGATGTCATAGACTTGTCTGGCCTGGACGACGTCATTGGAGTCTGGCAGGCAGGTCCAGTTGTGCAGGTAGGTTCTGTAGTTGAAATCATTGACCTGGGTCTGACATTTCTTGGCCAGCTCAAGAGACAGCAGGTCCGCTGGGAGGTGGAACTTGGTCTTGGACTTGTTGAAGTCCTTCTTGTAGAGAGCATCACTAGCAATCTTAGCTGAGTTCAAGGCCAGCATGAGCAGAGGATCATCCTGGATGCTGCGTGCTCCAATGTGATGACCAACTTGCTTACGGTAACCAGTCTTGTACTTGTACTGCAAGGAAAGAAAATATTCTCAGTGTAGCAAATTATATCCTCAATGTGTCATATATTGCCTTATCAGTTTGTTGTACTTACGTCACTAGCAATGTCTCTGGAGGCTCTGGCAGCGATGATAGATATGGCATCACTGCGCATATCATAACCCTTCTTCTTGGCCAGTTCATGGGCGAGTTTATATTGTTTCTGAAGAGCAAATCACACAAAATATTTGAACAAACTTGTGGGAACAGCAGAATATAATGTATCCTTTGTTGTCTTCACATAAAAGCAATGGTCATTGCTCTTAATCTGTCTATGTGTCATAGTCAATATTTATAATATTTGTTTCTGTTTTACAACTGGAAATACTTTGATATACAACTGAGCATTCAATTTTAAATATGAAATACTGACCTCACTATAGATGACTTTGTTTTGCTTGGCAAGAACCACATCCATTGCATCTGGCATGATGTGAACCTTCGTTTTATCACTGTTCCAAGCTTCAACATATTTTGACTGCCGGAATGGAGAGAGAATTAAACACCAAAATTAATGTCAAAAACAATATTCTAGACCTGTCCCATATGTGTCTAGATATCAAATGTACAGCTACAGTACCTTGTTCATGATGTCATTATTGGCTTTAGCCAAGACCAGTGGCATATCTTCAGTTGTGCAAGTGAACTTGAAGTTGCTTGGGTGCTGACGGTACTTCTGTTCATTTAGGATTTCTCCAGCTTTTTTCACCTTCTCAACATCAATCGAACCAATGGGAACCCATCCGAGTCCTTGGAGCCACTTCAGATCAGCTTTGTACACCGCCTAAGAGCAGACATGTGTGAAAAGAGTGCCTATACAAGCCTCATAAGGATGACCCTTTAACCTTATTTATACATGTATAAACAGAGGTGTAGTGGTAAAAAAAGAGGTGGGTAAACTATAAATTCTGGTGGACCACGACGTGGTCACCCGGTAAGGTGGGCCACTGCCTACCGGTGTATGTGTATCTCCTGATGACATTGCTATAGGCAGGGCTCGACATTAAGCCTTTTCATACGCTTGTCCTTCGGACAAGTAAATCTGTCATTCACTTGTCCGAGTAAAAAAGTTTCTCGTCCGGATTTTTTTTTGTGTTAATTTATTCTGAACAATATTCTCATCAGTGTTCAATCAGCTTTGATATTTAAATTCGCATTTTGTAATATCTGCACCTTTAAAGGGCATCACCTCCCCCAATATTATGAAATGTATGCTTCATCTTTCATTTTAAATTCCTAAATTTGATCAATAAATTAAATTATTTAGAATAATAAGACACTATAGGGCTGTTACCCTAGGTAGGGCTAATTAAATTAAATCATTTACAATTGCATAAAATAATGTTATGAAATTGATTTAAATTTACAAATAAGAAACGTTGGAAAGAATGATCTACTTTTAAACATAACACTAAACCGCCAGTAGGTGGCGGCAGGCGACCGTCTTAATGAGTGAGTCATTGATTCATTCATTCAAACGATTCGTTCAAACGGCTGATTCATTCAAGAATGAGACAGATGTTTATGAATGGGTCATTGAATCTTTGACTCAATCGATTCGTTCAAAATGCTGAATCATTCAGTAATGAAAACAGGTTGAGTGTTCCTGTGAGATGCGCCGTGGTTCTGCTGTGATTTTTGTTTGGAACTATTTTCGCTGCTGAAACAGAACAAAAACAGCCATATTGCATCTAAAATGTAAGTGACTTAATTTTAACTGTTTATTAAACTGTTGTAGGAAATCAATGTCACATTTTCACATTTTGTCACAATGTCACATTTTCAATCGTGATGGTGTTCAGGAAAAATAATTGAGGTTGCTTATTATGTTAAAAATATAAACTCCACATTTAGATTTTTTATAGGCAGTATGAGTGTGTGTGTGCGCTCATTTGTGTAGATTTCTCCTCGAGAGGCTGCGCGAGCGTCAACAGCGCAACCTTACCGTCAGTAATAGTCAACAACACTGACAGTAATGCAGCGCAATATGAAAGAGTTCGTCTTAGGTTTAAAGGGATACTCCACTTTTTTTGGAAATAGGCTCATTTTACAACTCCCCCAGAGTTAAACTGTTGAGTTTTACCGTTTTTGAATCCATTTTGAATCCATTCAGCCGATCTCCGGTTCTGGCGTAATGATATGACGCAGCGCCTGAAAATAGTTCCGATGTGTTGACGGAAGGTGGCCTATTTTCAGGCGCTGCGTCATATCATTACGCCTGCTGCTCTCATGGTACGGCAGTGAAGTTTCTTGATTATTACGCAGGAATGAGAGTATAGTTCCTAGCCATATCAGCCTAGAAAATCGCAACTTTCCATTTTCCGTCGGTCTTAGTGCACGATGTAACTACAGAAGAGTCAAGTTTTAAATAGGAAAAATATCGAAACTCTTTGGTGATTTTTGTTTGAGAACTGCTAATGGTCTTGTCCACTTCAATGATGTATGCTAAGCTATGCTAAAAGTGGTACCGCCAGAACCGGAGATCGGCTGAATGGATTCAAAAACGGTAAAACTCAACAGTTTAACTCTGGGGGAGTTGTAAAATGAGCCTATTTCCAAAAAAAGTGGAGTATCCCTTTAACAACCTATGAAACTAATAATGAACAATATGAAAGTAAAACGACATACGATTAATTTATAGCTATTTCGACTGGATAAACGCACTTTGGAGGTGGGTAAACGCTATTTCCGAATATTGGGAGGTGCGTAAACGGCGTTTACGTGCGTTTAGCCTCCACTACATCCCTGTGTATAAAATTGCAGTAAATTCAGACTTACATCACTCTGGATGTCATAACATTGTCTGGCCTGGACGACGTCATTGGAGTCAGGCAGGCAGGTCCAGTTGTGCAGGTAGGTTCTGTAGTTGGCATCATTGACTTGGATCTGGTTCTTCTTGGCCAACTCAAAAGCTATCATGTCCACTGGGAGGTTGAACTTGGTCTTGGACTTGTTGAAGTCCTTCTTGTAGAGAGCATCACTAGCAATTCTAGCTGAATTCAAAGCCAGCACGAGCAAAGGATCATCCTGGACGCTGAGGGCTCCAATGTGATGACCAACTTGCTTACGATAACCAGTCTTGTACTTGTACTGTGAAAAGTCCATTAAAACATCTTTTACTTTCTGATAAACTACACAGTAATCATATGCTGGGTCCAATAAGGAAGAAAGACTTACATTACTAGCAATGGCACATGATGCTTTAGCAGCTTGAATTGCGATAGCATCAACGCGTAGATCGTAACCTTTTTTCTTTGCTTGTTCATTGGCAAGTCTGTAAAGTTTCTAAAGGAGAATAAGAAATGATTATTTACTATTATACTTTGACAATTACTGCTTGCAATCAATCAACAATTATGAATCTGATGGATTCACTTACCTCACTGTAATTAACTTTATTTTGACGAGCAAGAGTCACTTCCATCGAATCTGGCATAATGTGAATTTTGGTTTTGTCCTGTTCCCAGGCTGAAATATACTTTTGCTGTAGAAAGAATAAATGGGTCAATTTTAAATTATTAATTTATACTGGCTATTATTAATTATGTCACTAAAAGAAAGTCAGTTGACTAAACATAATAGTCAAGATAATCAAAAGCAAAGCGCAGTGTCAAGTCAAATGATTTCAATTTTCACCTTGTTGTTGATGTCATTGTTGGTTGCAGCTAGGACCAGATCCATAGAAGACATATCTTTAGTGAACTTGTGGTTACTGGCAGGTGTGCGGTACTGTTTCTCGCTGCCTATCCGGCCAGCAAGTTTTGCTTTCTCCACATCCAGAGATCCAATGGGAATCCATCCAACTCCTTTGATGTAATTGTTATACTCAGATTTGTAGATGTTCTGCAGAATGAGAAAGAATGCTGTCATATCCACCATGGAAAAACTAATTGAAAAAGAATAGCATTTTATCAAAGACATTAAAACATAAGAAAATGCAAAGATCCCGACTCACATCACTTGCGATCGCCTGCATGTTGCGGGCTAGTACCAGGTTCATGGCATCAGGCAGAACTTTATTATGTGCAACGATATGCCTGTATCCAGCAAAGGTCTGAGCAGCCGTAGCCTGCTTAGCATGAACAACGCTCAACATGTCCACGGGGGTGTGGTACTTCAGCTTGGACTTGTGGTAATCCTTCTTGTATAGTTTATCACTCTGAATCTTAGCCACCTGCATGTAGTGCACCAGCAAGGGGTCGTCCTGGATGCTACGGAAGCCAATATGATGGCCTCTTGCTTTATTGTACTCCTTTTTGTACTTGTACTGTAATGAAAAGTATATGTAGAGGTCAGAACTGGTAATACTTGGATAAAGCTAGTGACAGAAACATTTGATTATCTATTTGAAAAAAACTCACATCGCTGGCAATGTTTGTGGAGGTCCTAGCCGCAATCACTGATACAGCATCTGCCTTGAGGTCATAACCTTTCTTTTTCAGGGCTTCCAGTCCTGCTTTGTAGGCTTTCTGTAGACAAAACGTAATTCCAGTACAGGTTATACACGTTTTTAGGCATGACTTACCTCATTTCTTTTACAAAATGGCTACAAAATCATCATGATAGAAGACACCAATGGCTCAAAGGGTAACATTTATTGTCAATAATTATAGGAATAAACAAACCTTCCACCACGAAATATAGCCTACATCATTATCCAAACTTTAGGCTGTTGCCAAACAACGTAGCAAAATGGCATATTAATATTAATTAGATTATATATTAGTTAGTTCCAGCAAAAGCAGACAAAGTGTCTGGAAATATTCTGTTGAAAATGTATTTTACTCAATTTGAACTTCGTGTAAACAATTTAAAGATTACACCTACCTCACTCATGTTGATAGCATTAGCTTTTGCAAGAATGATTTCCGGAATGTCAGGCATGACATGGATCTTTAACTTGTCCTTGTTCCAAGCATCCGTGTAAGCTTGCTGCAATAAAATGCATTTAAAATATTTTTTATTAATGGGACCAGCCACATAATCCATTAGAAATTACAAGCAGACTAATCTCAGAATTTATAATTACCATAAGAGTTAATTACAAAAGTGTAACCTACCTTGTCCATGATTTTATTGTTGGCGGTAGCCAATGCGAGATCCATAGAGTCCATAAGTTTTTGGAACTTGTAGTTGGAGGGGTGAGTGCGGTACTTGTGGTCACTCAGGATCTTTCCTCCAATCTTTGCAGTCTCTACTCCCAATGAACCAATAGGTACCCATCCCACACCCTTCATTGTGCAGTTGTACTCACTCTTGTACTCAACCTGAAAAATACAAGTTTCATTTAGACAATTTATAGTGACAGAAGTGGAAGCTTTGCTAAAAAAAAATGACACGTAAAGTCGAAGAGTATGACTCACATCACTGGAGCTGATGTTCATGGAGCGAGCTAACGCCAGGTTCATGGCATCAGGAAGCAGGGTGTAATTGTGTAAATGCTGCTTGTATCCTGCATATGTCTGAACCTTAGAGGCATTTTTGGCCTGCACCACACTTAACATGTCCACGGGGGTGTGGTACTTCAGCTTGGATTTGTGGTAATCCTTTTTGTAGTTCCTCTCACTCTGTATCTTAGCCACCTCCATGTAATGCACCAGCAAGGGGTCGTCCTGGAGGCTACGGAAGCCAACATGGTGGCCTCTTGCCTTCTCAAATGCCAGTTTATACTTGTACTGTAATGGCAGAAACATGGATTAATCAGAAAAGATTCCAACACATCAAGAATTTTTGCAAACATACAGTATAAGAGCAAGAGGACAATGGCTGATGGGATACTTACATTGCTAACAATATTTCTGCCGGCTTTGGCAGCCACAATCGAAATAGCATCTGGTTTGAGATCATAGCCCTTTTTATACATTTCCTCAAGGCCAGCTTTGTAGAGTTTCTGAAAATACACAGAAAAGGCAATGAAATATACTGCACTGGTGTTTTTTGCTTTGATTATTAATGAGACTATTTTGAAGAAATGCAAAAGTCAGTCTTGTGAATCATACCTGGCTCATGTTCAATGAATTGGCCTTGGCCAGGACAATTTCAGGACTGTCAGGCATCACATGGACCTTAAGCTTGTCCTGTTCCCAGGCAGCATGGTAGGATTTCTGCAAACAAAAGCATTTAAATGTTCATTGATTGACGATTATTTTTTCACCAGTCAAACCAATGAAAATAAACAGAATCTAGGCTTGCCTTGTCCATGATCTTATTGTTGGCGGTAGCCAATGCGAGATCCATAGAGTCCATAAGTTTGTGGAACTTGTAGTTGGAGGGGTGAGTGCGGTACTTGTGGTCACTCAAGATCTTTCCCCCAATCTTTGCAGTCTCTACTCCCAATGAACCAATGGGTACCCATCCCACACCCTTCATTGTGCAGTTGTACTCACTCTTGTACTCAACCTGGGAGACAACAAACAAAATGTTCAATCCTTTGTTTATCCAATTGCACTTCAATTGTAATAAAGATCACACAAGTTATGAGCTACCCCCTCCAGGTGGGATGCATGGGTCTTAAAAATTATGGACTTACATCACTGGAGCTGATGTTCATGGAGCGAGCTAACGCCAGGTTCATGGCATCGGGAAGCAGGGTGTAATTGTGTAAATTCTGCTTGTATCCTGCATATGTCTGAACCTTAGAGGCATTTTTGGCCTGCACCACACTTAACATGTCCACGGGGGTGTGGTACTTCAGCTTGGATTTGTGGTAATCCTTTTTGTAGTTCCTCTCGCTCTGTATCTTAGCCACCTCCATGTAATGCACCAGCAAGGGGTCGTCCTGGAGGCTACGGAAGCCAACATGGTGGCCTCTTGCCTTCTCAAATGCTTTTTTGTATTGATACTATGATCAAAGAACAATAAATTCTAATCAATCCAATATTATCCATTTACATCATTTTTTGGTTTAGATTTTTCGGACCTGCTGAACAGCCCTTTCAAACATTTTAATGCAAGATGCACTTTGCACTTACATTGCTGGCAATGTGCCTTCCTTGTTTAGCAGCAAGAATGGAAATAGCATCAGATTTCATGTCATAGCCTTTGGCAATGTCCGCAAGCCACTGAGCCTTGTAGTTTGACTATAAAAAATAAGATTTTTGTTAATATCTACATTATATTAGTCTTTCAAAACAAACACAATCAAACAAACAAACAAATAAATAAATTTAACTTCAATAAATTAAATGTAATTAACCGATCATGTCATAGTATATAAATAAAAAAACAATTAGAAAAAAAATATGCTATGAAAATACATTTAAAAGAAAAAACTTAAACACTTCAGTGGTAAAGACTGCATATGTTAAAAAAAAGTGTTAATGCAATAATTAAGTTGAACTATCAATGAACAAAACTTCTAAAGCATTTAATTTCTACATACACAATTTAACATCAAAATAGGTATATGTTAACATTAGGTAATGCATTAAGAACTAAAATAAGCCAAGATTAATAAATGCTGTAAAAATGATTTTTCATTTTTATTTCATAATATCTAATATTAACACATAGAACCCTACAGAAAAGCGTTTCTCTTTTATTCAATTTAGATTGTATTTGCCATTACAAGTAAACACTTTGTACATGCACAGAACATACAAACATTTTGTCATTTGAAGTTCACTTCATTCACCTCACTCATAGTCTGGGCATTATATTTGGCCTGGAGGAACTCTGGGGCATCAGCTGGTAGATTGTAGGTGTGCATGAATTTCTCTCCAGAGGCTTTATAGGCCGTCTAAAATGCAATAAAAATAAAACAAGAACTTGTGAGTCAGTTCTATAGCATCATTGTGGTTATCATTCAGAATAGATCCTTGAAGTACTCTTACTTTATTTTGTAGTTTTGTGTTGCTCATGGCCAAAACCATGTTCATCTGGTCTGTTAGACTGGTAAATTTCAATGCGCTGGGGTGAATTCTGTATGACTTCTCATCAAGGGCTTTGTTGGCAGTCTTAGCCCTCTCAACATCTATAGAACCTATAGGAACCCAGCCTGCTCCTTTGAAGATGTTGTTGAAATCTGATTTGTACAAATTCTGAAGAGATAAAAAGAGATCTGTTAATAATTTGTTCAAAACATAAGTAATCATTTCAGGTTTACAATAAAAGTACCACATATCCTTTTTCAGTAGTTCTTACATCACTCTGGATCTCCATCATGTTGCGAGCCAGTCCAATGTGCATGGCATCAGGAAGGAGGATATAGTTGTGATGGTGCTGCTTGTATCCTGCATTTGTCTGAACCTTGGAGGCATGTTTGGCCTGCACCACACTTAACATGTCCACGGGGGTGTGGTACTTCAGCTTGGATTTGTGGTAATCCTTTTTGTAGTTCCTCTCACTCTGTATCTTAGCCACCTCCATGTAATGCACCAGCAAGGGGTCGTCCTGGAGGCTACGGAAGCCAACATGGTGGCCTCTTGCCTTCTCAAATGCCAGTTTATACTTGTACTGTAATGGCAAAAACATGGATTAATCAGAAAAGATTCCAACACATCAAGGATTTTTGCAAACATACAGTATAAGAGCAAGTATAAGAGCAAGAGGACAATGGCTGATGGGATACTTACATTGCTAACAATATTTCTGCCGGCTTTGGCAGCCACAATCGAAATAGCATCTGGTTTGAGATCATAGCCCTTTTTATACATTTCCTCAAGGCCAGCTTTGTAGAGTTTCTGAAAATACACAGAAAAGGCAATGAAATATACTGCACTGGTGTTTTTTGCTTTGATTATTAATGAGACTATTTTGAAGAAATGGAAAAGTCAGTCTTGTGAATCATACCTGGCTCATGTTCAATGAATTGGCCTTGGCCAGGACAATTTCAGGACTGTCAGGCATCACATGGACCTTAAGCTTGTCCTGTTCCCAGGCAGCATGGTAGGATTTCTGCAAACAAAAGCATTTAAATGTTCATTGATTGACGATTAATTTTTCACCAGTCAAACCAATGAAAATAAACAGAATCTAGGCTTGCCTTGTCCATGATCTTATTGTTGGCGGTAGCCAATGCGAGATCCATAGAGTCCATAAGTTTGTGGAACTTGTAGTTGGAGGGGTGAGTGCGGTACTTGTGGTCACTCAAGATCTTTCCTCCAATCTTTGCAGTCTCTACTCCCAATGAACCAATGGGTACCCATCCCACACCCTTCATTGTGCAGTTGTACTCATTCTTGTACTCAACCTGGGAGACAACAAACAACATGTTCAATCCTTTGTTTATCCAATTGTACTTCAATCGTAATAAAGATCACACAAGTTATGAGCTACCCCCTCCAGGTGGGATGCATGGGTCTTAAAAATGATGGACTCACATCACTAGAGCTGATGTTCATGGAGCGAGCTAGCGCCAGGTTCATGGCATCGGGAAGCAGGGTGTAATTGTGTAAATTCTGCTTGTATCCTGCATATGTCTGAACCTTAGAGGCATGTTTGGCCTGCACCACACTTAACATGTCCACGGGGGTGTGGTACTTCAGCTTGGATTTGTGGTAATCCTTTTTGTAGTTCCTCTCACTCTGTATCTTAGCCACCTCCATGTAATGCACCAGCAAGGGGTCGTCCTGGAGGCTACGGAAGCCAACATGGTGGCCTCTGTCCTTCATATACTGCTTCTTATACTGAACCTGAAAGGCATCATCATAAATAAACAGTGTATTTAATATTATTCGGTTCCACACTGCACTTTTCCATCCATCCCTCTCTATGAAAGGGGCACATCACTTACATCACTAGCAGCATGTCTGGCTGCCTTCGCAGCTTTTACGGGTATGGCGTCAGACTTCAGATCATACCCCTTTGCAATAGTCTTCAGCCATTCAACCTTATAGCATTTCTGAAAAAGCAGATACACAATAGATAAACAGAGTCACTTTTGCAAAAAAAGAACATGCCAAATATCATAAAACATATTAAGGCATTTCCACTTACATCGCTTATGTTGTAGGCATTACACTTGGCCTGAATGAACTGTGGGACATCATGAGGCAGGGAGTACTTCTGAAGGACTTTATCTAGACCTTTCTTATAGTGCAGCTATAGTGAGGAAAATATTCACAATTTCACATAAATGTGCTGGTTTGGCATTATTCAGAATAACATTTAACCAAGTTTGGTTGGTTGTTTTCCCTTACATCACTTCTTATCATCTGGTTGGCTTTAGCCTGCAGCTGGAGAGGGTGGTCATCTATAGCAGTAAAAGGTACAGTGTCTGGATTCTGCCTGTACATTTTCTAAGTAAGAGAAATATATAAATATTAGCCTACATGATTGATGACAACATAAATCCAATATAGATTAACAAAACGTTGCCTCTTTCTGAAGTGCCATACCTCACTTAAGATCTGCCCAGATTTTTTGCACTTCTCAACGTCCAAGGAGCCGTAAGGGACCCAAGGCATTCCTTTGACATAGTTATTGTAGTCTGACTTGTATTCATTCTGTGGTTACAAATGAAGAGACAAATAAATATCACAAGTTTCACAAAGTATCATAAGTTTCACAAAGTATCATAAGTATCACAAAAAGTATCACTTTTCTAGTTAATGACCAAAAACATAACTAAAATGAAAATATATATATATTATATATATATTTAGATTATAAAAATGACTCCAAGTTCTTTCGAAATAGAAACAGTCTGTACATTAAAGACCTCGTCAAGTTAAAATTGTGATTTGTGATTTTAATCTGTCTTTTGGAATAGATGCTCCTAAAAAAGATCGTTTAGCAGATATATGAATGCAAAATTAAATGTTTTTCTTTTTCAAGATCAAAATAGACAAAAAATACATCAAAATCTATAGATAACTCAATGCTCTAAAATTTGGTGTACTTAAATATTTTAGAACAACAACATCCCCTCACCCTGATACCACCCATTTCTGACTAAAATGTAATTATTTATAAAAGAACATCAGTCAGGGCTGGGGTGGGGGTGGGGGGGGGGTTGCTAAATCCTAATATTTATGTTGATAAATGTAATGTAAGACTTCTGCCAAGAAAAGCATGGTTTGCATGGTTAACAGCAGTGATGTTTGACTATTGGCTAATTTTTTTTTTTTTTATTATTTTTTTTTTTTTTTAAAGACAAGGTTTTCGAAGTCCCACCTCAACTATATGTTTTAAGGAAAATCAGGAAATCTTAAGGAAAGAAATGAAAACTGCACTTGTCAACACTAAAATTGTAAATTTGTGCTCATTCTAATCTAGTGTGTAAGAGCTGTAGGGATCCTTACATCACTCTGAATAGCATTGGCCTTCTTTGCCTGGTCCAGTGATACGCTGTCATAAGGGAGGAGGTAACGGTTTGGGATCTTCTTATAGCCAGTCATGCTGGCAATGGCCTGAGATTTCTTAGCAAGAGTCACAAGCATCATGTCCAGGGGAGCATGATACTTGGTCTTCATCTTCTCATAGTCTTTCTTGTACTCACGCTGTATTTCAGAGGATCAAAAATGGACTGTTAGTACATAAAACAAGCTTTAGGATTGTGTATATAAGTTATCAGTAATGTGCTAGTTGAACCATACCTCACTTTGGATCTTAGCAACATGTACTGAGTGCATGATCTTGGGGTCATCGTTGATGCTGAGGGCCCCGACCATCTGTCCTCTGTTCTTCTCATATTCCTTCTTGTATTTCACCTAACATTAAAGACCACACCAGTGTCACAATGGCCTGAAATCTGTCAGGGAAACAACCCAAATATCCCATTTACTTACATCACTAGCGATGTTAGTGTGAGCACGGGCTGCAAGGATTGAAATTGCATCTCCTTTCACCTCAAATTTCTTTGCTTTTGTTTTGTCCCATTCAAACTTGTAACACGTCTGTGAACATGAAATAGAGAACCATTCCAGTGAATACAAAATAGTGTATTATGGTCAGGTTTCAGTTCAATCTAATGCTATGAACTCAGGAACAGCATTTTATCAATTAAAAGGCAGATTGAATGAACTCACATCACTAAGGTTATACGCATTAACTCTAGATTGAATGAAGAAAGGGTAATCAGGAGGGAGGTTACACTTAAACTTCTCCTTCTCATACTTTTGCTTGTAGTTGAGCTGTAGAAAAGAAAAGAGAAAAGTGTTAATGATAATATTCTACATCTTAATATATATATATATATATATATATATATCATATTAATAGGCGATTATATAGCCTATATATATATATATATATATCGCAGATTAATATTATTATCTTATATTATTATTATTTTGGTATATATTTGCCTAGTAAATACAATGTTTCCATAGTGCTCTATGGTTGTGGTGTTCATCGGTTTCAGTTGTTTGTTAGGCTTAGACTGCCTGCAACTTTCACTCGAAATAGCACAAAAAACAGTTCTAATAATATGTCTAGGGATTGACTCTATTGTCAGCAGCAATTGACAACTGTGCTCTAATGATGAATGAGGGGATTTTTCTAGGACAACATTACGATTCAACAGAGTCCATAAATCACCTGGTAAACTTTTCACAGATTGTTTGGTTTTATTCAGTCATAATAATGAAATCTTTTTACGTACATCACTCAACTGGTGGGCGTTGATGGCAGCTTGCAATTGAACAGGTGAGTCTGTCACCTGTGTGAACTTCACCTTGTCTGGATGTTGACGATAAACTTTCTGAAAAGAGAAACACGCAAACAAACATCACCTAAAGTCAGGTTCTGTATTCAACTCATTAAAGGGAGTTTATGTACTTACATCTTTACATTGATCAAGCTTCTTATTGACTTCGTATTCTGGTGTAACAGTTTGAGGAAAGAAACATCTTGTCTTTATGTCCTCATAATCAGCTTTGTAGATTTGCTTTTAAATGAGAAAGAAAGCAAATGTGGATACACAAATACATTTTTTTGTGATCAAGAAGATGAAAATATATGCATATCCACATTATGGAAACTTACATCATTCTTCATTTCTTCCAGTTTCCGGCAGTGAACTGTAAATATATCTTCATAGCTACCAATATAATGACCCTTCACCTGATTTTCATACTTCTCTTTATAACGTGACTGAGGAAAGAGAACGATAAAAACTTGAGATGTGAGGAAATATGAAATGTTTGTAGCAAATGGTGAAATTATCACTTACATCACTGAACTTCTTCAATACACTATCCATCTTGAATTTGGGAGTGTCGCAGTAATTGATGCTGAATCCCCTTGATTTCTCATAACTAGCTTTATATACTTTCTAGAAAAGACAAAAGAAAGGAATGTCAGAAATTAGCCAACAATTTGAGATAAACTTGATGAGAGGAAAATGCTTCAAAATACTCATACATCATATATCATACAACAGATCAAATCATACAACGTATGTGCCAAACAGTGGCAACACGGATAAAATCCCATCCAGTTATCAGGTCTAAAGAGAACTACATGTTTACACTAACTAATACTTACACTAATAAAGCTATAATCCATGCCATCATTAACTCATTATTAACACTATGACACCAAGCATCAACAAAAAAAGACGCATTGGTTTTGTAAATATTAGTATTTCCCTAAATAATTTATTTCAGCTGTCTTGTGGCAATATTTAGTATGAGAAACCTTAGTAAAGTCCTCTTAGACCATAAAAATGTCCTGCCAAAGCAGACCACTACAGTATAATGATTAAGGTCTGGATTAACATACATCACTCAAGATGGTGCCTGCGTATCTCAGCTGTCTGAGAAGGGGGTTCTCTGTAGCAGGGAGAACGTTGTAATCGCACACTGCTTTTGTCTTCTCATAGTCCTTCTTATATTTGACCTGTGAAGGTGGAAAAAAAATGCATATATTAAAGCTCCAGTCCGTAACTTTTTTAAGTTAAAAATAATCCAAAATAATTATATTAAAAAAAACGTATTCTGCCAGTGGTCAAAACTATCTGCTTGCCATAGCTAGATTCAAAACGGTTAGCTTGTAATAATGATTTTAATTCCAGTGGTACTGGTGGGTTTCCGCGGGAAATTCGAGCATGTCTTTGCGTCATTACGTCACACCCGTACACATAAAGGAGTTTCGGCTAGCCGGCTATACTGCGCGTGACGAGATGTTTAGATGTATAGGCTTTTCTCGCAGCACTTTACATAATTAAACTTATGGCATCCAGAAAGATCCAAACAACAATCATCAGTGTCAACTGGAGATTCGGCAGTTATAAAACCCAAAAGACTTCGTACTTCGGATTTAAGGTGGCTAGAGAAAGAGAAAGAAACCGTCTCATGCGAACACAAGGATTTAAACATCGGCGGGGCTTTTGAAAAGTGCGTGAACTCCGTGTTTTGAAGGGGTTCGAAACGGAAGAAGAGACGGCTTTTTTTCTGCTGAACAAGTAAGTTAAGACATTTCAATAGTTCAATCGTGTAACAGTACGTTTTCTTAATTCACACAGTTATGGAGTTTCCTTTGTTGTGCCTTTCTCGTTTTGCTATTATGGAGAATATGAATTCTGAACTACACAGGTAACCATAAAACACATTAAATTTAACTTTAGTCACGCAATGCTGATGTGATGTTGTTAACATGAACAATTTGAGAACAAATTTGCACGGTTGCTGTAAATCGCGTTGATTAAATCTAACGAAGCTTATCATGTCGAATGCTTTTTCCCCCTTAGTTGGTCAGAACAAAAATGGATTTTACTTACTTGTTCAGAAGACATTTTCTTATGAAAATTCTTATGTTGGTCAAACTTTCAAAAAGTGAATCTGTGATTCTGTATGACAGTATCCACACAGCGCGGTGACTGACAGCACCACTCGCCTCAAAGCACTGTGTTCATCCGCGCTGTTTCATGCCGATTTACAACCCACGTAAAGATGATAATTCCGCGAATCACTGCAGTTACAGATTTCGAACAGAGAGATGGCGACAAAGAGGAAAAGCTACGTACTGCAGCTTTAAATGACAAATGATTCTGAAACTAATGTGAGTCATGGGTTCTTCTTCAAGTGTTTAAAGTTTATAAGAACTCAGAAAATTCTTTATTTTTAAGACAACACAAAACGTTCACAACAAGTCCAGGAACAAAAATTCGTCTCTGTTTTGATTCTCATCCCCGGTTTGTTTTACACAAGGTTCCTACACATTTACAAATTCAAAATTCCTTACTTTTCCAGACTCAAATTTTCAGACCAAATATAAAATAATGTGCATTATATTTGGTATATAGTACAATCATCAGTAAATATTTTCTCAGGTTATTTTTCATTGGTTTTCTCGAAGTGATATGCTCATACATAATGAGAAGAAACCAGTTTGATATTGTAAATGTGGTTTGATGTTACACTATCTCCAAACAGCAAAGTACAGTCTGAATTAAATGATTATTTGCTCCTTTATTTGTTGCTGGTTTATCTGTCGCACATTCGTTTAGTGAAGTTCAAAAGAAACTCACTTATGGTAAAGAAAGACAAACGGTTTGCATAATGAAAATGTGCGCCTTGAATTCATTCATTCGTGTTTTACAGTCACTAAACAATCACTAAGCTTTTGCCATGAAATCACTCTGCTTGTATGATATATTTATTTTTAGAAATGATTAATTTTATATTTTAGAAAACTGAATAGGGGAAATTGTCTGGAAATTGTCTTTTTTCCATACTTATCCAGAGCAGGAAATTAATTACTCTAATCAAATTCTATAATTTTGCAAACTGCTTGTATAAAAATACACAGGATCTAATCCTGTTTGTTCTTTCATGTCCTCACTTGTGATGCAGCAATGAGAAATTAGTAAGCAGGGATCAAAAGAGATAACCAGATCACCAGTCATGTGAATCTCTGGATTGACTCATGATCTGTTTAAAGAGTCATCACAGGAAGGTTGTTTCCATACAATGAGAAGAGATCTAAAAAAGTATGTCCATTGATATGTACTATCTCACTTTTATTTTTAATCAGGAGGCAATGCACGAATGCTGGAATGTTCTAAAGCTAGTCTGAAAATACAGTGACAAAAAGTAAAAAACACTAACTGCTAGTCAAAATGCTATATTCTCTCATTTATAGATAGTGCATCATTTTAAATATTGCTTGTGTACTTTACATCATAACATTTCTTTGTTTTAATTTTATTTTAAAAAAAAAACATTCTGCATATTTCTAGGTTTATATAAAAGAAATCACCAGGTTTTCATATGGTATCAGACTCCACTATATGTGTGAAGAAATAAAAAAAAAAAAGAAAAAAAAAAAGAGTGTGAATAAATTCGCAAAACTTACCGTACTTGCAGCTTCGCGAGCCTTTTTATTGGAAGCATACGTTGGTGTGTCTGTTTGCATGAAATAAATTTGGTCTTTCATATCTTCAAATTCAGCCGTATATTTTTTCTGGAAAGAAATCAAAGTGTGACACTCAATTAACATTTTTTTAACATTTGATCTGAATATTAAGAATGTTTTATATTAATAATGTGCATGTTTCACTTTGATAAATATATTTATTTGAACTATTCCTTCAGAATCTGTTTTTGAATAACGCTGAGTTTATGGCACTTACGTCACTGATGTTGTCCATAACCATTCTAGCGATAGCGATATCAAAGTAAGGGGTTTCACACCATTTGCCCTTGACGTTCTTGTTGTAATCCTCATGATATTTAAGCTGTGAAGAATTTAAGGGTTTTATATTATTTCTCACCTTCTGCGAGCCTATGGCTTACATGCACAATCTATTGTTGCAGGGACAGACAAATTTACATTATACACAATTTCTGATGTTCACTTCGTAAAATACAATATAATATAAAACTACAATATAACTACAAATAAAATGTATTGCTTTGGGCTAAACAAAACTTAAATAACTTTGATAGATGGAACTTTGATAGATTGATTGATGGAAACTAAAAAGACCATTTGTGGTAGGACTCGTTATTAACACTTCAGGAAAATGGGAATTGATTCAGAAGGCACAAAAACCAGGGAAGTCTTACATCACTACGATTGGCAAAGTTTTTCTTTGCCAGTTCCATCTCCGGGGAATCAGCCAGAGACGTGTACTTTGCCTTGCGCTCATCATGGCCCTTCTTGTAGACAATCTGTGAAGGTGGAGCACAACAGATTTGTGAGACAAGGTATGCAGTAAGAGCATTTGTAATAATGTTTTAGGTAAAATAAAATATTTAGTTTAGAGACAAAAAGCTTTTGTTTTTCCATATGACCGTTAAATGATAGTTGATTTTGAAATTTTACAATTCGACTTACATCACTGACGTCTTTTTGGGCCTTGGCCACCCTGCGCAGCTCTGGGCTGTCACTGTATGGATAGTACATGGTCTTATCCTCATCCCACGCCTCTGTGTACAATTTCTGATAGGGATATTAAATCATTGTAGAGGGTGAATCAGCCAGTAATGTCAGTATACATTTTACTTTAGCGCTAATACCAAAATAGGAATCAGAGATCTACCTTGCTGTAATTTGCAGCATTCTTCACAGCAAGAACCAGCTCAGGGGCGTCAGGAGGGAGCAAGTACTTATCCTTGGTCTCGTCCCATTTCTGCCTGTACAGAACCTGGAGAAGGCGTATATGGAGAACTTATTTTATGACAATAAACAACACAAGGAAAAGAATCGATACTAGTTGGGTAGTCGTTGGGTAATCTTTAGTGTCTTTTCTTCTTCGGACGGGATTAGTTTTACAAGGGTAGATGGCGTAAAGTAATTTTACCATTGGTCGTCTATAATATTAATGGCCAATTGGCGGCACGTGATAAGAAATCTAAAACTAATGCCGAGTTCAGACTGCACGATTTTAGCCCCGATTTTGACTCGCCGACATGTTTTGAGAAATCGCCGACAAATGCCCGAAATCACAGGCAAATCGGTGCTCGTTCACGCGAGTGACAATCACGCAGTGTGAATGAGCAAAGGCGCGATCTGAGAGAATCGCCGACGAGTCGCCGACGCCCGTGAGATATTTGGCATGCTAAATATCTGGACCTGTCGGCGATTCACAATCCTGCTGTGTGAATGTGTTCTGACTGAAAACTACATCGGCGATGACCGACAGCCAATGAGAGAGCAAGATACAGGGAGGAGGAGGAGGAGTTATAGACCAGAATGTCAGTATTTTAATAGATAGGCCTATATTTACAATTATATCAAACAGAAACAAAGCACAAACATTTGCATGACCAGCAGCAACAGCAGGACATTTGCAAAATTATTTATTTACCCCCAACTCTGTTTGCAAAACACAGTCCTTGCTCCCCTCGTCTTCCCAACCATTTCCTGCATAAACTGTTTTTTTTTTTTTTTTTTTTTTTTTTTTTTTCGCTACAAATCAGTGCAGACATCCCAACCTGCAACAAGTCATTTCAGGGAGGTATCCCCCCCCCCCCCCCCCCCCCCCGGCATATCACCACAGAACAAAAGTTTACTTGTATACCGAAATAAAGTTTAATATAACAGAAAAATAAATTAACTATTTACATAAGCGCCAAATGTAGCCTACATGTAGGCCTATTTCCTACATCCAATGCCTTTTACTTTTGTTGCTTGCTTTCGTTGTACTTTGTTGCTGCTTGCTTCGCAGATTTTAGCAACTTCCCAGAAACATTAACATCATAGCACTCTGTGTCAATGAATTTGTTTATCTTGCAAGACATCAGATTCACAAGTGTTTGGTGAGACATCTGACTCCTAAATTCTGTCTTGATGTGACGCACAATGCTGAATGCCCTTTCCACATCACAGTTAGAATTTGGCAGCACCAATAGCACCTTCATCAGCTGACAGATCTCCCTGAATCTCAACTGCCCTGAGCTCACAGATCTTACTTTGGACAGCTTCCCCCAGAACTCATCGACTGGTAAATTCTTGTAATTTGGCACCAGTGTTTCCAGGTTAGTTGAGACATAATCCAGGATTTCTAAATTGAGTTGTTCTCTGGCATCTGCCTTCATCACATTTGGAAATCTCTCTGCCAAAGTCAAAATTTGCTCTGGTTTCACATCATTTTGGTTCTCTGGATTGACCACTGGCAGATTTGTCAAGATCTGGTCTCTTATTGGGAACTTTTCCTTTACTTTTTGAAAGCTTTTGACATAGAATGCTCTGGCATCTTTGAAGAATTGCTTTGTCTTGTGAGTGGAGAGTGCTTCCTCACTTAGCAAATGCCTCCTCGCCAAGAACCCAACAAAGAGTTCTTCATCTGGACAGTGAATTTCAGGGTTGCTCACATCTATCTCCTGCAATTTCAGTTCTCTCAATACCTTTGAAACAATAAATCTGCTTGCTATGTCATGCAGGAGTTCTTCCACACTGTCATTTAACTTGAACAGAACTGGTGCCTTGTTTTGAAAAATCAAATTAAATTTATCAAAGCACTGTGTGACATTGTGGAGAAAACAAGTGTAAAGTTTCATAGTGGGGTCTGTCAACCTCTTCTGAATGTCACAGGACTTCTGATTCTCACTATGCGATTCAAAATAAGAACTAAAGGCTGGCCATTGGTTGAGCAGATGGTCCAAACCTTTTCCCAAAGAAAGCCAACGTGTTGGACAGTGCTTTTGTACTCTCTGCTGGGCTACATTGCAAAAGTCCTGAAACTGCTTAAGGTCTTCTCTTCTTTTTGAACTTTTCTCAAAGTAGTAGTAGATGTCAATTAGCAATTCCTCAGGTGACATTGAGAGCTCTTTAGCAGCAGTTTTGGCACATATGTTAACCAAGTGACTTGGACAGCCAACACTGTATATATATGGTGCCTGTGCTTTCACTCTTGATAAGACGGAGTTGTTTTTACCAATCATGACATTGCAGTTGTCACTGCTGAATCCTACGCAATTAGACCATTCAAGGCCTTTGTCATGCATGGATGATGCAATGCAGTTGAATATGTTGGCAGCTTTGGCATCATTGCACACTGGCATGTCTACAAATCCAACTGTCACCTTATCCTGTGCTTCACTGTAGTACCTGACTAAAATGGCACACTCCTTCTCACACATGATGTCATTGCTTTCATCAACCATAATACTGTATGGCCTTTTTTCTGTCTGGATTAACTTGTACAAATCCTCTGAACATTCAGGTTCCAGTGCCAGGTTCATCATAGCTGCCGTCTTAGTGGAAGAGCAGGCAAAATGTTTTGCAATCTCAGAGTCTGGAAACATTTTCTTAAATAACTTGCCTGTGTGCCTACACACATGGAACGGCAGGTTATGTTCCACAATAAAAGATGTGAAATACACCTCAGCTGTAGTCACCTTCTCAGTGAGACCTTGCCTATCTGAATGGAAGAACTGGGATATATTGGAGCAGCCTTCCCTGCGCTTAGCCTCCCTAACATGTTGTGGTCCCTAAAAGATATAAAAGCATAATATATCATTTCTTTAGGCTATAGTTCTATGCAATTATTTGTTAATTATGTAGATTACATTTAATATAAACTGCTCATACTATTTATGTAAAATGCTTTTATTTATATTCCATTGCAACTTTAAACAGGTCTAAGGAGTTTATTGTTTTCATGTAGCCTAGGTAACTAGCCGGCCTGAATAATATGCACATGAAATGAAACTTGTTTAACTCACCTCAACATGTCTTTTACAATCATTTAACCCGCCATGGGCAATGCTGAAGTCACTGTTACAAACTGTACAGCGTGCAAGACTGTCATTATGTTTCACTCTTATAAGACAGGGGTACACTTTTGTGTAGTCTGGCGTAAAATGTGTCTTATATTTTCGCTTTTTGGGGCACTCTCCCTCTGCCATGATGCCGCTCCTGTGTCTAGATACACTGAACTGATAGGTTCCGCGGGAGAAGAGATAAAAGCCCGCCCACACTGACAATTGATTGGTTGACTTACCAAAACAGGCCAATCAGGATGCTCTCTGTCTTACATGCACTTCTTGATGCACACACGCGCGGCACACACACACGCAAAGTCTCTCGCTCTCTCCCTCTCTGTCGTGTCGTGCGCGCTACACGGTTTGGAGCACAGTCTAACCGCTCTTGCTCGCGCGCTCTTGATTCCGGGAGATTTTAACTAATTTGCGGGCATCAGGGAGCCGCTATCAATATGCGGGAGACTCCCGGAACTTCCGGGAGACTTGGGATGTCTGTCAGTGCACAGACAATTTGTAGGCTATCATTTTTAATAACAAATTCAGTCTTGCGCGAGAACTCCGGTCTCACGTACGCGTGATCTTCCGTTATTTCCTATCACTTCTCGCGTTTGTTTGGTTGTGTTTGCGGACTAGGCAGAAGTTGTCGGCGATTCTTTCTTTTGTAAAGTCATGCAGTGTGAAACCTCCTGTCGCCGATCCATCGTGCAGTGTGAACAACTGAATGTTACCCCAGATAGTCATGCAGTGTGAAAACAACAGTGACCCGATTATTTTGAAAATCGTGCAGTCTGAACTCGGCATAACAGAAGTGGGAGGGGAAACTCGATTTACGCGCACCGCCGTCACCACGTGCGCAAACACATTCATCTACAACCTACATAACAGTTATGTCTGATCGAACGATTTATTAATTTAATTAATTCAATTCTGATTGGATTTTGTTGGTAGGTACTTAACCAGCTAAAAATACCTTCTTTTTGATTCGGAAAACACTTGAGTTTTACCACAGACTTGTCCCACCATCTAGAACGCAACTGAATGCTTTTTCAACATGCCTCAATACTTGAAAACCGCGGAAAACTACGTTTAAACAGGACATGACGGAATATTTACGTACATTTACAGCTGGTATATTCGCACAGGATTAGTATTACCTTGGGTTATTTTTCCGGACCTTTTTATAGAAGGTAAAAGTTGCCGTAATCTTTACTGACATTTTCTGTAATGATTACTGAGATGGCACATTCTTGAGAAGCTCTGGTAAGTACTTTACACCTCTCCATGTTAAACCAATTCAGTCAGAATAGGGCTTTAGAATGCAATATTGAGGACTGACGACTTGAGCCGTATTGTACATGAATACAATAATTTCTGCAGTGCTGAATCATCAGTTCTTTTCCCCACAGTGCTGTTCTTTCTAGCAAAGCATAATGGGGATGCATTCTTAAAGCTTAACAGCATAATAAGACCGTTTAAACAATTCTGTTATTATTATTCAACTCGATTATTAAACATTAATGTGTATTACTCTACTGAATTCACAAGTCTATATTTCTTGACACAAGCACTTACTTTGCTGATGAGCTCAGAGACATGCTTCACGTGGGCAATCTCACGAGCCTCACCATCATAGAGGCTGGTGGTTTTGGCCTTCAGTCCCTCCATACGGTATTTCACCTGAGTTATCAAAAAATGTATTGTTAGCGAAATTCACAGCATCGGCTAGAATTTTGCATGAAGTACATTGTTTATTAGGAGCTTTAGACTAAGAGGTTTCAAAAAGCATCAGTTAAAAAATAGTCCACATGAACATGAAGATTTTGCAAATATATAGTAATATATGATCCACAAAGGGTATACCTCACTCAGCTGCTCCTGGGCCTTCTTGATGCGAATCATCTCAGGTGTGTCAGCTGAAATGGCATAGGGCTGCCCCTTTGATTTATCATATTCCTCCCTGTATTTATTCTACAAAAGCATACAAAACAATACAGTACTGTGTAAGAGTTTGCTGATTTGGTGATTAAGAAACATTTTTTATTATTATTCAAATGGAAAATGCTTGATATTTTTGTGGAAACCATGATTTTTTTTCCAGAATTATTTGATGAATAGAATAAAAAAGAACAGCATTTAGATTTTCTTAAATGTAAAAGTCTTTTGATCAAAAAGCATCCATGCTGAATAAAATGATTACTTTCTTAAAAAAACAAATCTTTAATTACACTTTAATTTTTTTTTTTTTTTTTTATCTTACTATCCCAAACTTTTGAATGGCAATGTACATAGTAACTTCTATCAAATATCTGGTTTTATTCTGATGGTTCTCAAACTGTGACCTACGGACATGATGTGGTAACATTAATTTTATGCGAATCTGTTTCTGTTGTCTCCCACAAATAATGTAGCTAACTCGCAGTTATGAGGTTCATTTGGGACCGTTAACAGTCTAGTTAATTTCAATGAAATAAGAACAAAACATCAGTCAAGGAAACTTGTGGATTAATAGCACAAAATATTTTCCTACATGGCTGTACTGGTCAAGCATCTTCTGGCTGTGTGCCAGGTAAGGAGTCATGAACTTTGAGGTGTCCACCTTCGCCTTCTTCCTGACTGACCGTCTGGGAAGACCACCTGGTGTGGACTTAAAAAAAAAAAGAGCAATTACCATTCAAGAAAAATAGTGCTATAAATGAGAAACATCTCGAACATCTTTCACATTTACAGTATTTCATCGTTGAAGGCCAAACTGTTTTGGAGAACCTTACATCTCTTTTGGGGGCACAGTTTTGTGGGACCAAAATACCTAATTATCATTATAAGCAATCACAAAGCCTGTTTTGGTACATCTAATTTTGTCTGTATGGATTTATTCCAAAAACAAAAAATGGATGGGGTAAATTTAATTTTAACAGTTAATTTTGTTGTGTCTTCAGCAAACAATTCGTTAGTTTAATTTACCATGCAAATTAATACTTGGCTTTTATAGCAAATGAGTCAAAAGGTTAAACAGCATATTTCAAAGACAGGTCAGTAAATTAGTAGTGGCTAGATAGTAATTCAGTTAATGTTTATTTAAGAAAACAAGCAGAAAACTACAGAAAATACACTTTCGGGACAGTTAAACAAAGTGCTTAAAGCATTAGTTACCGCATACAGCTTTATACAAATATAAATTGAAGTAAACATCACATTAACTCGCAAAAAGAAAGCTCTATTACCAGACCCTCACTGTTCACTAACGCTCTGGCATTTGCATGGCTCGGTATCATGGGGGCTATTTTTGTAAATGCTACTCAAAGAATTTAATTTGGACATAATATTACATTTTTACTGACATATGAATTGTTAAACAAGGGAGTTTGTTTAATAATCCACTCTTTAAGTCGGTACCATTTGGATAGTTCTAACCAATACAAACTAAACTAGTCTGTGAAGGAATGGAATAGCCCCCATGGCATGTGGGAGGGACGCAGATCCGTTTCACCAGGGATGATCATTTACCTCAACACCATGAGACATTGAGGTGGACGTGGTGGTGATTGTTGAACCCTCCTCGTAGTACTATAAATATAGGAAAAACTCTGGGCTTTCAAAATGACGATCACACACTTCAGGAAAACACTACAATCTAGAAAAGTGACTTTTTCCAGCTCTGGTTCTCACAGACAAAAAATCCCTTAATCCCCTTCCCTTTAAGGCAATTCATTTCACTCAGCGGCCATCTTTGAAACGCCTCTCGGGCAGCTATTTCAGTCATGAAAGTACAGCTCCCATCTCTCTGAATGGGGAAATATCAAATTCTCCAAAGCTGTTCACCAAGCTTACGATAAAATTTCATAATTGAAGCAAACAACTGTCTCCTAAATTTTGTTTTTAAATGCTCGTGCTTTTTTTCAGGCTGGGCGCATGTGCAGTCATAAGCATTGGCTCTTTTATTTAGAAGGCGGGACTTATTCCGCCATCTTTGCACTTTTTCCTATTCATAGTAATATGAGTGCACCTCTTTGTATATCTAAAGTCTTTCTTAAAATCCACATTTTGACCAGAAATACATTTGATGTAGTTGGATCCTCTCTAGGCTTTTACCGAACTCTATCATTGTACCAGATATATGTCCTGTTATTCATGTTTACATTAATTACATTTCAAAGTCATCCATTAACCATTAATCCGTCTTGCATAATTTCAGCATGCTAATAAGAGGGTTCCATGTCATTTTTACCATATAACAAAATAAGAGATAGAAAAATAATCGGTTTGACTGATATTTCTTGCCAATATTCACACTTTTCTTTTTCTTAGTTTTTTTATTGAACGTTTAATATCAGGTTTATCGACAAATTACTTAATTTGGTGGGTCTCTGAAAAATCAAATACATCATTAGACCACTGTGTGTTCAACAAATAGGTGAAGTAATTTACATATTTAGTGTTTTATTTTTGCATAACTTTTTACACAACTTTTTTATAGCCATTCAGAATAAATGATAAACAACATTTTAAGCTTAACATGCCAAAAATATGTTTTAAACTATGTACTGTAGATTGCAAGGCAACTCTGCATATTATTCCATTAACCATAATAAAATTACATAAAAAATGGTCCTGATATTGGTTTTGTACGAAGTTCTGCAGATGACATGGAAAAAAACAACAACAACAGATGGCCACGAATCAAGAATTAATTCCCACGACTTATTAACTTATGACCATGTAGTACTAATTTGTTCTTTCATTCCCACACTTTAACTAAATTAAAACAAATCAATAACTTGGATTAATATGTCATGGGAGCTAATTCTTGATTCATGGCCTCTGTATCTTGTTTTCCCCCCACATATCATGTATGGGGCTCTGTAGTTTTAGGACATTAAAATAAAAAAAAAAATTGCTTAATGTTGCTCATGTCTTTCTAAACAAAACTAAATTGATAGTTGCTCATAAAAATCGCACTTAGTACATTCTTTAATATTATATTTTTCCACACAGAAAGTTGTTTTACTAAATTTTACTTAATTTGCTGTTAACTGAATACTTCAGTAATTGTTTAGGGAGTACAAATATAGTAATGAGGCTTTTTTTCCCAGTGGAGCTCTGTCGCTGACTGACAGAGCCGTATGACTGGCCAGTGCTAGGAACATTTTAGCGCCCTAATGACCTCAACACTATTATTATTTGCAGCTAACGTTATTGTCATGGTAGTAAATAGAAACAGTGGGTCAGGGAACAAATTCCAATACAAACACTTACATACATTTGACTCCAAACCTGTCCAGAGAATTAACTATCCCCTACTGGTATTTAGTCAGATATCATGACAGAACTCTCTGAAACCGTCACTGACAACAACATCACAAGGCCTAAGATCGTGTAAGAAACCTATGAAACCAGAGCAGGAAAAAAACACTCCAAATTTATGAATTTACAGGAGCTAGAGGCTTCTTTATTTGGACCAGCGGGCAGCAGAAAATTCTTACAGTATGTAGGTTTTATTAGCCTGTGCATTATATATAATTTTTCTTTATCTTTCACTTAACAGACAAGATATGGGAGATTCAATGAATATACTGTGAAGCAAAATCTCTATCTTCGTTTTTTTCCACAGGTCCTCCCCCCAAAGCATTTTAACAGCATGACGTTAACAGCAAAAGGAGTGTAATTTACAACACGGCTCGTCTCATTTGCCTCCCTGCGAGTCAGCCGTAGATGTCCACTTCTATATTTGTATCTCTTCAAAGAACAACTCAGCCAAAGCTGAAGGCTGCTTTTTCCATTAATGGGGAGATAATATAAAAATAATCCACAAAACTTTTGATATGTAGACTTTTATTAGTGCCACATTTATTTATAAAACACTATACCTGTAAATAATAAGTTCTGAAAAAGATTCAATATAATTTTATAGACTGTATCTGAAAAATCAATAAAATAGAAAAGAACAAAATGTGATTCTCTGCTGTCCCCAGAACCAATAAAAGAAGCCATTTTGATTAACACTGATACCTTTCAGGTTCTATTCTAAGTGTAAATGAAAGCAGTAGTGAAATCAGAGCGTATAACGTATATAATCCAAAATATTGTGTTGAGATTTCCATCTGCTCAAAATGCAAGATGATGAATTTCCATTTCCTGCATATGTTAAAGGGGAATCCAAAAGCATTTGTTCTTTCAAAACGTTCTTTCAAAAATAAAGCTCAAACACCTAATCAATGAAAGGTTTGGTTAATGCAATTGTTTGGTAAACCCCTATAAGATATCTACAACAGAAATGGACATGAAAGTATACAAGGTCTACTTTAACTCTATTTCTCTTGGAAATACTGAGTTAAAGTATCAACCTTCTGCTTTCACTCTTCCATTGGTCACTCAGACAGACACATTTATTTGTACATGTACAGACAGAATTTCAATGAATAACATGACAAAAACACATTGAGGTAAACGAAAACTGCTGGAAGCTTCAAGAGGAGCTGTGGTTAAATCTTAAAAATAAGCTCTATTAAAGAAATGACTGGCCGAAATCATATTTAAATAACATATTTCGAATCAGAAACAACATCTGTCATGAACTGTCCCAGTAAATGTTGTTTTAAGTAAATCAGCCAAAATACCTCAAAATATGGTATATTATGCAAAATGATGCCAATTGTGCAACCAATCGATTAAGTTTGAAATAACACTAGATTTTCTGCTCATAATGAAGCTTGCAGGCTAATTTGCTGAACAGAACATAATCCCACTGTTAGTATAAAAGTGAGAGTATTATATCTAACAATGGTTATTTCCATTCAGGCTTCTTTGGTTTGATCAGGAAAACATTACATTAGCATGTTCATAATATCTTATTATCAGATGATGACAAACTCCTGCAGGGGTCATTACATAACTGTCAAGTGAATGATGGTTTGCCACGTATGTAATTGATATCTCGTCAAGGTATTAAATTAATTGCATCTATTGAAAATAAAGCAGTGATACATTTATTGCTGGGAATGAAATATGTATTGAATGGAATTTAGTGGACTAGCCTCCGAGGAAGAGGTCATCTGAAATGGGATCCAATGCTAATCATATACGACATGGCAGCTCCTACTGAACTGCTGACGGTGGAGATATAATAGATCACTATTCATAGGGTTCGCCAGTACACCTATAGGACTGAGATCTATGAGGCGTTAATGTGAAAAGCCTATATAAGCTATTCAAGGGGCAACGTGAAATAATGTAGAGCAGAATTACTGTCACTCTTTCAATGAATGGGGGTAAATAAATAAATAAAATATGCATTGCAATGTATTGAATTTGTATCTTACCTCCTCCTCCTCCACAATCTCATCTTCATACTCTTCTTCTGATGCCATCTTCAAACAGATTTATTGAGTCTAACCAAGCAAATTAAAGACTATCAGACACTAGCAAGAGCTAATCTGTATAGTACATAATTGTAAATATTTACGAACTGCATTAAACTAATTCCTGTTACAGACACTGAGAAATAAACAGGTGTTTTTGAATACTTTAGATGGCAAATAAAGCTTTCAAATTCACCAGGACTTGAAGGACAATCTACAAAGAGGCATTAACAACAGGCTAGGAATGATTTGCCAATTTCAGAGTTAAAGTTAAAGAACCAAACTAAAAAGTTGACGTACCTTTACTATAGAAGGTTACAGTAGAATTTCAGCAACCCTACAGTAAAGAAGGTGCTCGCTTCCCATCCACTCGTGTCCCAATCTCCTATTCCACTTTATGTATTCCTGCAAACCTAAACAAAGACAAAAATGTGTCAGTTTTTCCTCTGACTGAGCTGACACTTTAGCGTGGGTGGATCAACAAAAGCAAAATTTTTATTTTGTGCTGAAATCTTTCTGCAGGCCTTGTTAGTTGAGAGGGTTTGACACCTAAGACCCCCCAAAACGCTGCGCCTCCTGGCTGAAGCCTTGCGACAGCTGCTCTGAATCGCTCCAGCTATTTGTCATGTAAACCAATGCTGCGGGCTGATTGGCTGGCTTTGTTTAGCTAGTGGAGCTCCAATGCCTTCTGAGGCTACAGGTTAATTTTAGGTATGACCACTAACTACCCTTTTTTAGGACCCAACTCCCAGAAAATGATATGAAATAATGCTTTTCTATGCTTTTTCATCAGAAAGATTGAGAGGAATGTGGATGGGACTTTAACAAACTCCTGTCCATGAGGTGAGTTGCTTCAGAAAGTCTTCCAAGAAAAACAAAGTCCAGGAATAAGTTCCAGCTTTGAGTAATTGGTTGTTCCTGCAATGGTGGCCAATACATTCAGATGACTTTTATCAGGCTGTGGTTAAAGGACCAGCATCGCCCTCAGCATCACTTCCATCTACCAACAGGCTGTAGAAGGTGGTCAATCCAACAGAGCAAGCCATGCAAAGAGTGCTGGAGAGTAAAATCTGGTGTGCTGTTTGATTTTGTGGTTTTTCCTTTGCTTACCGGTGACTTTAAAGTTAAAACGTTTCCCAAACTGCCAGAGCCTCCCCAACTCTTCCCTCCTGAGAAACGCCGGGCAAAAGCTCACAGCTGCAACGGCACTCCGGTTATCATGTGCCCCTATCCACCAATCAGTGGGCAGCATTCTCAGGTTTCAAAAGCTAAATATACACTAGCGACCCTTCAGAAAAGTGCACCTGTTCAGCAAATCATCAGCAATAAAACTATGAGGAAGAGAAAAGAAAACACTGGAAAATACCTGGTTTGTCTGAATGAGGGAATGTAGGGATGCAACATCCAGCAAGATGTTCTGTGGAGGTCTTGGGAGTAGTGGAGATCCTGGGGGGAAAATGGGGTCTTATCTGTGAAGATGGCTAGAGAAACTTCTTGAGGTCACTGGTTTACATCCAAATGTACATGGAACCTAGAGGCTGAAATCAAGAGTAAAATAAACTGTTGACTTGTCCACCCAATTACGAACCCATCTAGAGTGACTCAGGAACAGATAAGAATGATTTGATTATCAGTCTATATTCTATCTATAGGCATTATGCTCAATGCATGTGGACTGTCCATTATACAGCTAGTATAATGATGATCTAAGGATGAGTCATTATTAAATAGCTTTTTAGAAAGTGCCACTACAACATCTCCCAAGTACTTTTGAGCAGACAGACAGCTGCTGTCTCACCCAAATCTAATCCTGATGAGTACCTTACAGTATTAAACTATTCAGGGTCACTCAAAAATACAGCAGACACTATTTTTAAAGCACCCTGAGTGGCAGTAAGGGGATGATGTTTAGGCACAGGTATGTTTCCTTAAACCTATCATAGAGTGGAACATTTTGAACAATACTTTGCTGATACACAAGATATACAACAATTTTATCATGATGTGCTCCAGCCATTTCCACTCAAAAGTCCTACAGTTCTCCACTTCTCCATGGTGGGGCAGCATGACTGAGCTGAACGTGAATGACAGAGGCAGCTGTGACTGTGTCAGCTCAGTGTTTCCCACTGTCCTCTATTTCAGAACTCCAAACAGTGATGGAACAGTATAAATAAAGAAGTATAAAAACAGAACAATAAAATATTTTTTAAAAATGTATCTTTTTTCAGCTAGTTGCCAAGGCAACAATTCTCATTTTCATTTATTTTAACTTGATATACTAAAATAACTCAAATTAAAATAAATTATTAAAATAAATATTTAAAAATAAACAAATGACAAAAATACACAACAAACCTTCAAATTAAAATATAAAAATAAACAGTCATGGACTAAAAGGGTGGAAATAACATCAATTCATTTCCTCTATATTCCTGGCTTGGAAATTAATATAAGATACAAAAATGGGGTCAAACAGGGAGGGAATTTGCAGGGAGATGAACTCTAGGTTGATGATTCTATTCAACTGTCACATACTTTAAGATTTGAAAATTGTATTGATTTTCACATGCAATTTGCCTAACAGGGTGCATGTATGGGTGGCACAAGTTGCCATTAATAATAAAACAAATGTAATATTGATTGGATTAATATTTTAAAGATTGGACTAATTAGTTCATACTAACAGCAAAAGCAATCATTTCATCTGGGAACAGAGGAAAACATGGACAACTGTTGACTAAGCTTATGAACAATACTTCAATCCAGTGACATTTGCTTTGAGTGTCATAAAGCTTAGTCACTGGAAAATTTGTAAGTAATATGGGGGTCTGAACAGCTGAGGATGGGTATTAAAACACTTTCAATGACTCCTAATTTAAATAAAAACAATATCTCTCACTCAGGGAAACGGCATTTCAAAACACAAATCCAGGATACGGTGCCAGAGAAAACCTGTTTACCATGACTCATGAAATTAAACTTTAAATATAAGTAGCTACACCGCAACATCAACATGTTTTTCAGTACTAACAACCGTATCAAGTGTGTTGTCCTGCTTCAGATGGATACACAAATAACTATCAACAATAACAAACAACTATCTGTTAAGTGTCAAGGTCTGTTCACCGTGATGATCCACATTACAGAATACCAGTGCCTAATCTAAAGACAATGCAGTAAATAAGGCATTCTGCATATTCTTTGACCAGTTTTTAAGCACTAGATTTAAAATGCAGTTTGCCACCAGTGACAAAGTTGCAAAAAATCTATACACATAAAAATATAAATAAAAAAAACACCTTCTTTTTACAATGTAAACGTTTAGAAAGTAATTATCTGTACTGTGCAAATAATTACAGAATTAAGTCCAAATTCTGTGATAATATTATGTGTATGGTCTACTCAGTGATATGTATTAAAATGCTATAATTTTAGTACACAAAATTCTATCCAGATTAAGTTCATATCCTCCTTAAACATATCAGGTTTTTGTTCAGGTTAAACAAGTACGCTTTTTTTTAAAACAGACACTGTCCTTTCAAACCATGCGAAAGAGCTGTGGAACGTAACAAAATCTGTCGAGAATAAGAAATAAGAAAATCTGTCGAGAAATAAAATGTGAAACATCTGTCATGACAGATAAAAACACTTTATTTAGTTGTATTTTACATGAGCGCAGTCTCCCGTTGCATGGTAATGTGTCTCCTCAGCCCAGAGGAGACAGAGAGTCAGGTGCAGGCACAGGCACAAGGTTAATGAAAATACTGGACTGCACACACTGGGCAACACCATGTCAGGTAGATGGGTAAAGCAGCGAGGCCACAGCGAGGCAGGGATCCGCTCAGCTAGAGACAAGTTCTCTTAGTCCAAGGTCTGTGCCACCCTATTCCTCTTTCAATGGCCATCCGTGCAGAAAAACACTGGGTTTATGCTGTCTCGCAAGTCCTGACTTATTTTAGTGAGTTAGTTACAGATTGTTCATTCACAGTTCTCAATAATCTGTAATAAATTAATCAAACGAGTTCTGGTGACGTCGCTGAGTCACCTTCACAATGAGCGACACCCGGTGGGAAAGACGGAGAGAGCACACTGCTATCTGAGGTCTGAGTCTGAGGTCATCTTACTCGCAGCCGTGACATCATCCATTCTAGACCCTGGCAGAGCCTGCGGAGAGGAAAGAGACATTCAGCTCGGGCAGTTAACAATGCTCCTATTTTCTTTCTTTCACTAAAGAAGACAAAGAAAGACATTTGTGCTTTCTGCCTGTTAGTCAAGGAAAGGCCTCTGAACTAATGACCTTGGCCATAAAATGAGGTGCGTTTTAGTTAATGACCGCTCATACATTCCATTATGAAATCTACAGACTTTCTGAATCATATTATGGCTTTTTTTTATGGCAACACATTTTAAATATTATTTTCTGTGCATCCAGGTATCTGTATGCATCCACAAAGCAGTCAGAATGGGGTTAGAAAGGTACAATTTGAATTTGCTTTACTGATACATTGTGAAATTCTGCATTTGCCAGCATGGTTGGTCTATGAAAGCATATATTACTGCCACATGAGAAAAAAAATCATGCTTTGGTACATCATAATTATGAGATTAGTTAAAATTATGAGATAAAATCATTATGACACGTCAAAATGATCTACTTCTTAATTTGCAACTTTTTGTTATAATTGACCCTTCGCAGGGAGCTTGATTGACAGGTGATCTGACCAATCATACTTCGCCATCCGCCATTTTGTCCGACAAAGCAGTCAGGAGAGTTAGTAGATTAACATGGGAGGATTTGAACTTGAAAAACGGAATGTACTGATGCCTTTCTGCGGTTAAAACAACATTCCTTCTTATGTTCATTCATGTTTATTTGATGCTATAAATGAACTAGAAGGAAGAGATGATCGGATCACGAGCAGCTTTAACTGATGCTCTACAGCGATCTGTCACGACACATTAAAGAGCCACAAAACGGTATTTATTGTTTAAATTTCTTTTAAAAAAAGAGGACCAAATTTGAAAGGTGAGACTTTGTTTAATATGTTTAATATCAAAAGTAACCGAAAAGTAACCTGGTTGGTCCTGTCTGTCAGCGTGTTGTCAGTCCGCGATGTATTTTTCACTGCGTGAGAAGAGAACATGGTGTGTGTGTGTGTGTGAGAGAGCAGCGTAGCTTGTCGGACATAGCGACAGTAACTAAGGGGGGCGGGTCTTTGCGAACGGTCAATTATGATGTAATTTGAAATTATGAGATACTTTTTCCTCATAATTTTGTTTTACACACACTGAGTTGCAATATTTCTTTTCGTGTCTCCAATTGAGTGCAAAAGCAAGAGCCTTTATCCTGGCTCAAGCATCACCGTTTAGAGCAAAATATGCGTCTTAACGGGGAAGATTTCTGAGACAGCAAGAGCTTCTCTCCGATGTTGCATTACGACTGCCACTAGGGCGAATTCCGACATCCGTGCCCAAATCTTGTGTGCTGTGGAAAGGCTGCTTTTAAAGGCTTTAAGCAGACAGCTGTGGAAGCCCATTTCCGCACCATTAGAAAAAAATCATGCTTTGGTAAATCATAAGTAAAAATGTACTTTAAAAGTTTAATTTATGTTGTTATTGTCTGTTTTACAATTTCTCATTATCACATAAAAGTTATTTTTTCTCATAATTTTGACCTTTTATGTGATAATGAGAAATAGTAAAAAAAAAAGACAATAACGACACAAATTAAACTTTTAAAGTACATTTTTACTTATGATTTACCAAAGCATGATTTTTTTCTAATGGTGCGGAAATGGGCTTCCACAGCTGTCTGCTTAAAGCCTTTAAAAGCAGCCTTTCCACGGCACACAAGATTTGGGCACGGATGTCGGAATTCGCCCTAGTGGCAGTCGTAATGCAACATCGGAGAGAAGCTCTTGCTGTCTCAGAAATCTTCCCCGTTAAGACACATATCTTGCACTAAACGGTGATACTGGAACCAGGTAGTGTTTTACACACACTGACTTGCAATATTTCTTTTCGTGTCTCCAATTGAGTGCAAAAGCATTTTGCACTCAATCCTCCTTTATCCTCCGAAATTTCACCATGGTGGAATGAATAAATGAATGCAAATAACAAACAGCTATGTATATAGGACAAATGACTGCCAATAATTTGACAAAAAATATGGAGACAA